CAGCCCGAATGCCGTTGGAAGCGTTCGGGAACATGCAAGCGGCGTCGAAGCAGAGACGTAAAGTGACAGTCAGTGATGTGGCATGACACGAGGTGAGAGAAAGTTTCTATAGCGCGCCTTCTCAGTGAGCCGAGCCGGGTCCTGGGAAGCGCCTGGAGGAAGGAGCGAGCGACCAACGCAGAAATGACACACGAGAGAGTGAGGAAATGTCGAACATTGATTAGATATGACTTGACTTAACACAAAAGCCACTGCAAAGCATACGATGGAGAGCCAAAAGACATAGTTGACAAAACACACATTTCGAAAACGACAGAAATTTGCAATGAAATGCACCATGGTATAAGATCCCCCCAAATGTACAATGCAACGCTGAAAACAAGCAAAACCAAACATTACAGAGATAATCCACGCATTATCTAATCCAGAACGACGGCAAGAATAATTATGACCAAAACAATGGCGAGGATGAGCAGCAGGATACACGCCTTACTCCTCGCGCTCTTCTGGTAGTTGCTGGCCTGCTTTAGATTCACATGTGCACCTCGCGACGCGTCATGCGTGACCTCGACGTTCTCCTCGATGATGTCGAGTTGAGCACCCTGCTCATGCACCATATGCGCAACATCACGGAACAGCTCGTTGAGTTCCCCAACCGACTGCTCGATGTTGCGGATCTCGGATTCACGCTCGATGATCATCGATTCCTGGAAGTCGACCTCATCCTGGTTTGCCAAGCGCAGCTGCTCCTGCTCTTGTTGTTGCCCAAAGTCTCCTCCCCGCTCTTCGCTTGGCGATGATACGTCTTGCAGGGCTGTGCGTGCCGCCTGTGCCGACTGCTTCTCTTTCTCTAGCGCTTGCTTCTGGAGGTGTTGGAACTCAGTGAGTGTTGCTTTGAATTCGCGTTGGAGCTTCGATTGCGTGAACTTCTGCGAGGGCTGTGGTCTGTTAGCTACCGGCTTCCATCTCAAGAACAAGGTATCCATACCCCGACATCAGGCCAGGTGGTGATCTTCTTTAATCCCTCTCCAAGCTCTTTGAACTTCTCCGATGTCTCTTCGACGGTGGTCTTCACGCGCTCGCGCACACGGGCGGTCTCGTGCTTGGTCCCTAGCTTGCCCGTCTCTTGCGACAGGCGGGCGACGTTGCGGGTCAGGGCGAAGAGGTCGTCGGAAAGCTTGTCAGCGAAGTCGCGGAACTCTGGGTCATCGGCGTATGACGGATCGTCGTCCCTTCGCCATGTCGTGGGTTGCGATTCGAGGGCGCTGGAGCGTTGGAACGACATGGTGCCGGATAAGAGAAGCGGTATTCGAAGAGCTTCTACAAGAGTGTCTGGACGATGTCTGAAGCTATGCGATCGTGTGTGGGGTTGTTGCAGCCTAGTACCCAAGTCCAATCGTGGCTACCTGGAGGTTGGTGCTCGGTGGTTCCTGCGGCGATGACGAAGGACCGCGGCTAGGGCACATGGCTCAAGGCACAAGCGGATCCCTTAGGTAAGCGTGCAGCTGTCGGCGACCAAGTGGTAGCTGCGCCGATCAACAATGTTTGTTTGACAAAGTCGGGCAGCTTTCACTGCTGCAGTACACCAGACTGCCGCACAAGCGCGTTCGAATTACTCTTGGCGCGACGCCATCCTTCTGCTTCTTTGCTATGATATAGCCCGTTACTCACTCATACGCTCTCTCCGTCCGAACTGTCGCAAACATGGCGCTCGCACCGCTGGGAACGCAAGTGCGCCCATACAGAGACTACCTGACGCCAGCTCTGCACCGAAGATTCAACAAGGCCAGTCGGTGCACGCTGTTGCTATGCTATGCGATCGCGTGTTGGATGGGAGAATGGGATAACAGTGAGAGTCTCTGAATGAAATCCAGACACACCTACTAACAGAAGCAGTGCTGTGGCTGTGGTTTCCTCTAGGCCTCACTGGCATTCGGACCCTGCTCATCTTCCTCTCCGCCCTTTCCATCTACGTCCTTCGCGTCGCCCAGTGGCATGTTGGCCGCCGCCAAACAGAGACCCGAGTCGAGACGTTCACAAGATACTTCTTCCGTCCTGCGACGCTGATCACGCTTGTCGCATACGCTTTCTCCGCGATGCTGTTTGTCGAAACTTATATCTGGTCGCGGGGCACCCAAGCCAGGCTCAACTTCATCGAGGCCGGCCGCATGCACGAGCGATTCCGGCTGAACGAGAGGCCGCTCTACCTGCGCTATCTCTTCTACCTGCTATCAGCAGCACAATCTGGAGTACATTTGTGGAGGGACTACGACAAGATTGAGTTGCAGGCAATGAAGCCCAAGAAGGAGCGGGGTGACGCGACCACTTCCACACCAGCACGACGGGGCCCCAAGCCCAGGCATGTCCTTACGAGATCGCTCAAGGGCATTGCAACACAGTCGACCTTCTTGGCCTCGGTCATTGCAGCTGCCGGTTTCTGTCTTTACTACCTCGGAACCCGCAACCTGATCTGGAGCTACTACTACAGCTTCAGTCGGTACCTCTGGAGCTTGTCCAAGACTTCTACGCCCACAGGACTTGCCCCGTTCCTGCCTCTGTGCTTCATGTTCGTCACAGAAGGAACGCTTCTCGTTGTGCTCTGGGAGTTTGTCAACAAGACCTTCGATGTGTACCTCGCACAGGAGCCCTTGAAGAACGATGTGCCCATCACGAACGACTCTACCGACCCTAATGGATCCCTTTTGAATGGACTCAAGTCGAAGAAGGATACTGTCAAGGTAAGACGAAGTGATACTATTACTACGTTCACTGCTAACTAATTCAGGCCATTGCTTTCTGGGAGCTAGCCCTCATCACCGACGCCTTTCCCGAGCGGCGCAAGACTATCTACAGCGAGGTGGATCGTAAAAAGGCACCGACACATCAGCAAGTTACGGATATGTGTCTGGGACAGCTCAAGTGGCTTATCGAGCGCGTCAGTGCTGGTCTCGATCCAGCCTACCAGCCCAGCGACGCATCAGGTCAAGACAAGCCAACCGGGCCTATCAATCTGGTTCCTCGTATTGCACAACCGCTGAAGGACGACAAGCCGATTGCTGCTGCGCCACCACAACCAAATACCAGGTGGGAACATGTCGAAGCAGCAACCGCCAGTATTGCAAAGTCGCATAGCGCTCCAGGGAACGCACAACAAGCATATAGTCGGGAGGCCATCAACAAAGGAATGAAGAAGGCCCAAGAAGGTGCCAGGGAAGCTGAGTCGTTCTTCACGACTTATTACAACAAGCTTGTTTCTTCCCCGGTCGGCTTACTGTTCCAACATTCCTTCCAACGGACGTCGAACATTGTCGTTCTCGGTGCACCTTACTCTCAACTTTCTCAAGTTTGCAATGCCGCGACTGCACTAGCAAATCTTGCGGTATTTTCTCTTGCCGAAGACAGCTTAGGACGCTTTCACCAAGGAATCCCGAGCATAGTGCGTATATTTACTATCGCACTGAAGAAGATCGATGAGTACATGGACACAGCTCCGATCCATTGGAGTGACAAGGAGACGAATGGCAAGCCAGAAGCGCAGAGGAGGAAGGTGCCTGAAGTAGATGAAGCCAGAGAATGTCTCAGACAAGGTCTTGAGAAGGTCCTTGGCAGCTTCAACGAATACCTGAGCGGTATGGGTCTCAGCAGGCTGGAGATTATGGAGGCAAAGAAGGTGGTGGGTGTCAAGAAGGCACCAGAGATGATTCAGGCGGGGGCGAAATAGTAGATGTCAAAACTTTCGCAGCCAGATCTCGTAGAACCATTTGAATGAACCAGTCATAGACACCTTCGCAAGTCCTGTCAATCGCGGTGCTACCCAGACTCCTCCATCGTCCAAGACCATCGCATAATCAGTTTACGACAGTCCCAAACCGACCGTCCCCCATCGGCCTCCCCGTCGCCCATCGCATTACGCCAAGCCCACCTCCCCTTCCTAAGATCGTCTACATCAGCTCTGCCAACCAGCAAATCAAAGCCTTGAACCCATCATCGCCCCCAACGAGGAAGATGCCAGATGCCAGACAACCGATCCAGATTGCTACATCATGCAGCTGTCATTGGTCCTGTCAGACATGACCTCGCTGTTTCAAACGAACGTCGGTTCCAGGGGTAAACACGATGGGCGCGCTAGCGCCCCACATAGCTCAACTCGCCGGGTTGCGCGTCCGATGGATCCATATCGTGATAGGGAAGGAGAGAGAAGCCAAGGACGTCATGTTGGGTGAGGCTTGCGTGGTGCATGGCGCGATGGCGTTGGTGCTCTCTTTCGTCTCGACTGCTCTACGTTTCTCTTCGTCTTCTTTCTGTTCACGATAACTTGGGTTTTCTGTGGCGTTTGGAAAGCTTGAGGGACTGTTTACTTACTGGTACCTTTTGGATGATCATACCCGCATTGTCCTTCTTTTCAGCCGCACGTCCTACCTAGGTGCCATTCGTTCAGGCGGGTATTGCGTACTCGTTATTTTTTCTTCTTCTTGTGTATACGTTTACTGCGCCTTGTTATTTACATTCGTTCCTTGCGATTGGATTGGATTGGATTCGTGCCGGCTGAAGGCGAACGGGACGCGTTGACAACATCGCACTTGGAATCTGGAAAGCGACTTTGATACCACGAATCCTCGAGAAGACGTTACGAAGGAATTGGAAAGGCGAAACGACTGGAGAGCCCAGACTCTAGACACCGACGTCACAACACCATGCACACCTACCTGCCAACCTGGCTCGCGCTCTCAGCGGCAGCAATCCTACCCACAGCGACAGCATTCTACCCTTACCACTATACCTCCGGCAAGACAGCCTCCACATCAACCCGCTCGCATCGAACCTCCCCACAACCAGCGTCCCCTCAAGCAGGAACCACGCGCTCCATAACGCTCCCGCTCCGTCGCATACGCACACCCTCATTACGCTCCCGCCAAAACGTCTACAACATCGTCAATTCGAACAACCCCAGCCAAGAAAACAGCGTAGCCATAGACCAAGATGGCAGTGATCTCAGCTACATGGTCGCGGTAACGTTCGGCGACAGCACGGATGAATACCATCTGCTGCTCGATTCAGCGGCGAGCAATACCTGGGTTATGAGCGAGGAGTGCGAAAGCGAAGCGTGTAAGACGCATGCGACTTTCGGGACGGCGGATTCGAGTACGCTGAAAGTACGTTGTGCTTCCTATCTTTATCTCTCTTCCACCTGGAACTCTTTCGTCAGATTAGACATGAAGACAAGTACTAACACAACACCCAGACCGACGCAACAACCCACTTCAGCGTAACCTACGGCACAGGTTCCTCCTCCGGCCATCTCGCAACTGACGTCCTCCACCTCGGCCCCTCCCTCTCTCCTACCCTCACTTTCGGCCTCGCAACGAACGTATCCGACGAGTTCCGCGCATACCCCATGGACGGCATACTCGGCATCGGCCGCGGCGTCCAAGGCACAGGCGACGATGAAATCGCTGCACCACAAATCATGGACTTGCTTTCCAGCCAGGACCTCATCGGCGCAAAGATGTACGGTATACATTTGAGTCGGGGCGAGGATGGGAAGATGGACGGTGAACTGAACTTGGGAGAAGTGAACAAAGAAAGGTTTACCGGCGAGTTGAACTATATCGATTGCGTAGACAACGAGTCAGGGTTCTGGGAGATACCGTTGCAAGATGCTGGTGTAGACGGAAAGTCTGCTAACCTTCCCACTGGAGTCGACCGAACGGCGATCATGGACACAGGCACATCCTTCATCCTCATCCCTGAACCAGATGCGCTGGCTCTACATTCCCAAGTTCAGGGCTTCGAACAGGATGGCGAGACGTTCTTCGTGCCCTGCGATACGAGCGCTGCCATACAATTCTCCTTCAACGATCGTGTATACAACATTTCCTTTGCGGATTGGGTGGGGGCTAAAGATGACGGGTCGGAGCTGTGCAGGAGCAATATTGTAGGCAGGAAGACATTTGGCGATAATCAGTGGTTGGTGGGCGATGTCTTTCTCAAGAACGTGTACAGTGTATTTGATTTCGAGGGCAGTAGAGTGGGATTGGGTGTGTTGGGACAGGAGCAGGATGTTATTGCTGAGAGTGAGAGTTCTACTGGTATGTTTGGACCTTTTTCGAAGTAACATCGAAGTAACATTGACTGACTTGAAATTGATAGGTACCATATCTCCTTCGGCATCGAGGACAGCAACTGGGACTGGAGGAGCGAGCTCGAATACAGCGGGTGCCGGACAACCTCAAGATCAGGAGGGCGCTGCTGCTGCGAGGTCCTCGACTTCGACGTCCTTCTTCGCGCTGGTTGGAGCGCTTGTTGCGCTTTCGATTTTCATGTAGCATATGGGATTTGGGTACGGATAAGCATTACTAGCACGGGCGTTCAGGGACACAGCATCATCGGAGTTGCACATACTACCAGCAATCTGGTCTTGGGGAGTGACGCTACGCGGACACATTGTAGATATGTACATACATACATAAATACATATATCATCATGATTTCACATCTACCCAACACCCAAGATCCCAAGGCAACAACAGTACATACATTGTATACTTTGCCCAACATCACAACCCCTCTCACATCTACCGTACAGCAGACAGTGCAGACACCGACCACCAGCACGACCTTGGTGGCCTGATCCCCCAAGCATCTCCACTTTCCGCTCTATCCACCTATCCACTGCACATTACTGAGTACCCACCAAGCTTACCCACCGGCCCAGCACCAGCACCAGCACATCTTAAGCAAGGCTCTCAGACTCTCCTCGCCTCGCCTCTCGCCTCGCACTGCCTGCATTAAAGGCGGGGCGGTACATCGGAACCTCACATCCGGGTCAAGAGGATTGGATGCTTTAGGAACAGTCTTGGTACATGCATTGCATAAGTATGGGCTAGGTATGTGGAGAGAGATGTGACGAACGAGTCAGGGAAGGGAGATAATGCGAGAGATATGCGGTGTTTGGTGCGAGATAAGGGTGGATGCACGATGTGATGGATGATGGGGAGGCGTGTTTCAGATTGGCACATCATCTATGTGTGGACGTAAATGCTGTTGAGCCATCACGTTAACAGCTTTTGCTCAATGGAAAGTTGGGTCACAATGTAGTAGTCACCAAGAAGATAATCATGTATATAGTTCACAGGCTTCAACGATTGATATGGGTAGACACGATAAGAGCAAAACAAAGCACCGGTTATTAGAAAGATCCTACCATTTGCTCAATCTCGATCCACACGCTTTCTGAGAAGATAACCCCATCATGAACTACCCCAAGATGATGTACGGTCCAAACACACAAAAGATCCAGCACAGTAACGCCTCGTATAGGTGCCGTCAGAGATGAGACTGCAAGCAGACTGGGAGGAGTCGGCTTGTCTGCTACCCCTACCGGCCCATGACATGTTGCCCTCCTTCTCAAATAGACCACTAATTAGACACCCGATAGCCGCCACCGTGTTGCTCTTGTCCAGGCTCAACATCGCGCGGTTGCGGCGGCTCTCGACCTATATCGTCGCAAAGTCTTGTCCAGGCTTACAAGATCAAGCACTTCTTGGTCTTCTTCTCTTTCCGGGTCAACAGGGCAGCCCGGGTGGCGTGCTCGAATACTTCTCGGACACCCTCGTTCGTCTTGGCTGAGCACTCGAGGTACTTCTGGGCACCGATCTTCTTGCGCACATCCTCGGCCTGGGGGTGTTAGTGGGTGATGGGTGGGTGGAGTGAGGCTACTAACCTGCTCGGGTGTCACGGGCTTCTGCGAGGTCTTGTGTAGCTCCTCAATCGTCTTCTGGTCGAAGCGCAGATCCTTCTTACATCCGACGAGGATGATGGGAAGGCCCTGGCAGAAGTGCAGAACCTCGGAGATCCACTGTTGTGTGTCAGCGGCTGCTTGTACGCGTGTGAGGCATTTGCGGTACCTTCTCCTGGACGTTGTCAAGCGAATCGGGCGAATCGATGGCGAAGCAAATCAGGATAACGTGCGAGTCGGGGTAGGAGAGAGGGCGCAGACGGTCGTAATCTTCCTGGCCGGCGGTATCCCAGAGGGCGAGCTCGACGTGCTTGCCGTCGACCTCGACATCGGCGACGTAGTTCTCGAAAACGGTGGGGACGTAGACCTGCAGGTGGGCACGTTAGTGGGTGTGTTGGGAGGGAGTGCAGGCACAGATGGCTGCGAGTGCAGGCGGAACAGCTAGGCTGACGCGGCTCAGGGATGCAGGCGAGGCGGACGGCGAGTACTGACCTCGGGGAAGGTGCCCTTGGAGAAGACGCTGCAGACGGCACCGTTAGCAGCTGGTTTGCAGCAGTGTTAAGAGTGATGGCGAGGGCGAGGACGTACATGAGCAGACAGGTCTTTCCACAGGCGCCGTCACCGACAATAACGAGCTTTCGTCGAATCTCGGCCATGGTGTCGTGGGGGATGGGTTATTGAGGCGGCGGTGGGGGCAGCAAGATCTGTGAGGGAGGTGGTGAGTATGTGGATGGAGAGCTGGACTGGCGGTGATTGAAGTTGGAGAACAGCGGCTTCAGGGTGTTATGGCTCTAGGCACCATGGCCGCAACGGGGGTCGTGCTGCAACAACTGCGGCTGAGTGCTGCTTGCGCCACGCAGCGCTTCGGCGATTGCGGCCTAGCGGGAGCGAAATGAGAGCGAGCGTGACGTACCTGGACAGCTGCTCAGTTGATTATCACGTACAAGGTTTGTGAAGCGTCGTCGCGATGGCGTGTACTGTAGGTTGGCCGAGAGAAGAGGAGAAGGCGATTAGCTATCTGCATCAAGCGCCTTGCCCTAACCGACAAGGTAAACTACCCATGCACACGCCCCGGAGCCGTCACATGGCAGCAGCTTGTCCCCCGGTGCGGTTTGACATGTCCAGCACGGCCAATAACACGGAGGCCCTGTTCTCATGCACAAGACGGCTGTTCTGCGACTGCAATCGCCTTGCACCAGTTGTTACGGTCGTGTGTTGCTGGTTGCCCCGGCAAGGTCTTGGTCGTGACAAGGGTTTCAGATTGGACCTGACAGCTCGCCTGCCCTTTCCCCAGCTTGTTCTGCGTGCGCGTGCTCTGGCAAGCGCGACCAGTCTCCCACAGGCAGGAACCACTGTCGAACGGCAGGGTCGACCTAGTGCGTGGATCCATACGCCTTCTTCGTCTGCGTTCTAGGCCATCATCTTGTTCTTGTTCCTGCTCCTGCTGTTTCTGTGTTCCTCAATATGTTTAAGACCCGTCTACTTCACACAAGGAAGACACTAGACAGGCGCGCTGCAGACTACATTGCTGTAGAACAGGATGTTTCTAAGATCCGAAAGCAATGTAGACCTCTGGATTAACAGCTTTAGGTGGGTGTCGAGTCAGTCCTTCCCTTGAATGGGGCGCGTCTAACCGTGCCTTCCGGCTACCTCAACTCACCAACACGCGTACACCAACGCAAACCCCGCCTACTCTCTGCGACTCAGCATTCACCATGGACGTTGAAAAGTGCATAGATCTGCACAACCGCATCGTCGCCCATGCTTGCTCGCGCCTTCCGCCCGACCGCCAACCCAAGATTCAACGCAACTGGTTCACCGCGCACTCTCTGGATCCTTCCTCATCCGTTTCCTTGGCCCAGCGTATGGAGGATGAATCCGACGACCCAGATTCAGACCTCGAGGTAGAATTCGACGATGACCTCATAGCCTTCCTATCGGGCATCGACATCGTCATGCCCGAAGAGCATCAACACCTAGCCCTTTAACCCCTTCCTTATCGGTGTCCCACCGCCAGGCCGCATGATTCCCGACACATGGCTTGGCATGTTACCGGAGCGCGAAGACTACATCTTGCTATACATAGGGACTGGATATGATCCGGGAGGTCTTTTCTACAAGTGGTCGACTGGGCAAGTATGCTTCATGGACAACATATTTTTCGAACCCGATGAGATGTATTTCGACGAACTTCAGGTTGCGCTAGAAATATACTGGGACTGTGTTGAGTCGGAGAAATTCGTTATCGATACAGAAGACCTAGGAGATGAACTTGCTGCGCAGGGATGGAGGCTACAGGAGTGGACGGACATAGAATTGAAGATCACGCTGGAGGCATGGCATAGTTTGGTGGATGCGATCACTAAACGCCTACCGGGACAAGGGAAAGATGACGACCTAGGAGCACACCAGGAGGAGAAGCAAGAAGAAATGGACGCTGTTTTGGTATCATCTGAGACCCTGGACCAATATCCCGCTATCTCTCCTTTCGCACGCGCATTCCTTTCTCGAGCGAGAAAACCGACCTTTACTTCCATCGCTCCGCAACTAGACGTTCCGACCGAAGACTTTGTAAAGCGGATAGGTGCCATACTACAGGAATTACACCCCGACATTACCATCACCACGCCGGAACACGAAATGCGCCGGATACCCAGATTTATTTTCTTCCCGTGGCGGACACCAGGCCTCCAATTCGTTTCCCAGTCTGATCGTGACCGATGGGTGGGCTTCCGAGGCGATGCCCACACTCTTGACAATCGCGCCGGTCTGTATCTGACCCCTGATGGGGTACACACACACTCTATCTCTCTACTACTTCCTTTTTCAATCGGATCTAATGGTCACGTGCGCATGAATGATGGAGCTATCATGAAGCCGGAGGATCAAGGCCAAGATGCTTTGTATGGGCATCATTCGTGTGGCCCCTTTATGTACGCACATGGCACACCGTTGGCCGCTGTTCTGGTAAATTGGTGTGACCTGATTGAGAAGGGGAACTGGCACGTTGATGAAAACGGCGTCGCAGGTGGGGAAGATGTATGGCAACAAGCGGATACGGAAGATAAGGCCGAGGATTACATGACGGATTGGAGTTGCTTTTAAGCTATGTATGTAGGTAAGTATGTCGCACGGGTTGCTTTGTCGACTTGGAGATCGTGTATCCATCAAGGGGCCTTCCAATACAGACATGCCAATGTTCGGCTCGGCCAGGAGTGATCATAGAGAGGTACCAGTACAACGCAGGCCAACTGGTAAGTCATAGTTTCTGGATTTCCTTTTGGATATAACACCAAGGGTGGCTATGTTCCGGGTCGCATTCTAAAAAGAGTATTCCAAGGTAGGCATACATGATCTTAGAAATTATATACTTATCAAGACTTGAGCGTGTATCTAGAGAAAGAAATTATGAAACTGAGCGGTTCATGAAGACAGGGCGCGGAGAGAAGTGGGTGACATGGACCAAACTTGTAGTAATAGTCGCTGTCACATTGGGCAGGGCTCAGGGCAGCGATCACATCTGGAGCTATCTGTCAGATCTAGATAAGCCGGAGATAAGAGCGGAAATACAGTATATGACTATGCACTATTTCGTCGCGCTTCGTCGAGCTTCTTTGGTACACGTGAGTTGGCGAGCGAGGGTGCAGGCTAGAGTGGCGGGGCAGACTAGAAGCTCCGGGACCCGTACCTAACCACAGGCACTGACGCAGTACTGCTCCACGGTTCGCGCCTCTTTCATTCCACGTCCTTGTACCAAAACGGCCACGGCCTATTTCTTTCTTTCTCTTTATACGTTAATCTACTCCACCGCCTCTCTACTGCTCGCACTCCTCTCTCAGCTGCTCATCACCGAAGCTCGCTGCAGCCTGAAGCCAGTACATCGCCATCATGGCCGACCAACCGCCCGAGCAACCAGAACACCAAGACAAGGCTATGGCCGACCAACCAGACAACGCGACATCTGAGCAGCAAGACAGCGCAATGCCTGATGCTGCACCTGCACCTGCACCCGCTGCTGCGCCGGACGCCATGTCTGACGCCGACAAGGTGAGCTCACCTTCCGACCGCCTGTCAAAGAGACACGCTGACGAGGATATCTTCCAGATCCGTGCAAAGCGCCTTGCAAAGCTGGGCGGCCCTGCGACTCCAAATGGTCCTTCACGGCCGCCCTCGACCGCACCCGAAGCCGCATCATCGGGCACTTCATCCCCAAAGCCCGCTGAATCACCGGCGCCACCACCGAAGCCCACTCCGACCGCGAATCCCTTCTCCCGATTAGGCGTCAACACCGACGAGCCGCCCAAGAAGCGCATTACGATCAAACCCGCACAGTCGTCGAGCAATGGCCCCACACCGCAGCCCGCTCAGAAGGCGCCGGAATTGAGCATAGAAGCGTGGGAGGATCGGACAATCAGCAGCATCTTCAGGGTAACTCTGGACGAGAGCCATACGCACGATGCACACGGACATAAGCTACACTTTGCCAAAGGCCCCAGGCGCGATCTTGAGGAACAGGGCAGGCCAATCCGCTTCACTACAGATCAACTGGATTCCATCATAATGGAAGCAGCGTCAGAAAAGCACCAGGGCTATGCGTTGGAATATACGATGAGTTGCTGGAAACGCGTTTCCAAAGCGCTCAAGAACCTCGCCAATAAGACTGGTCCACGGTTCGAAGTTGTCAAAGAGGCCCGGCGAGTGTGCTTCAGCTATTGCATGTTTGCAGCTAGCATGCCAGAAATGTTCCAGGAAGACCCACCCGCGGAGAACGCACTGGCTGATCGCTTACTTCTCGGACCTGACGACGAGCGCGGCATCTGCTACGAGTTCCTTACAGAAGCGAGCCAGCGGATAGGCGAAGACGATATCATCAAGGACACACTTGTGGAAGCTATGGTGGATGTCAGCCGGCGCCTCTCCAAGGTCTCTATGAATGGAGACTACAAGGCACACATGTTGATCCTGCGGGTATTCGTCCGATTTCCGCCGCTCGTAGCTGCCCTAGCACAGTCTGAGACGTTTCTGCCTGCTAACATCGAGGCTCAACATATCGAAACACATAGCTTTCTAGGGCCCTTCTTCCGTCTATCTCCTATGCAGGCTGACGTAGCCATGAACTACTTCTCTGGCTCCGCGGCTGTCGACAAGGGACTCATCGTCAACGCACAACGAGCTGTCCGCATGACGCTTCAAACCCACCAAGAAGAATTGCTGGACATTACGAACACTTTCATCAAGAACAAGGAGTCTCGCGAGAAGATGCTGGACTGGTTAGCGCTTACGGTCAATAAGAACCACAAGAGGCGTGCGATGCAAGTGGACAGGAAAACGGTATCATCAGATGGCTTCATGGTCAATGTCACAGTGATTTTAGATCGTCTCTGTGAGCCTTTCATGGACGCTACCTTTTCCAAGATCGATCGCATCGACATTGACTACCTTCGCCGATCACCCCGCGTTGATATCCAAGATGAAACAAAGATCAATGCCGACCAGAATGCATCGGACGAGTTCTACAGTACCAAAGCCTCAGGTACCAACAACTTCATCAGCGAGGTCTTCTTCTTGACAGTGGCTGCTCATCACTATGGTCTGGAGGCAGCCAATACCAAATTGGGTACCCTTCAAAAGGACGTAAAGTACCTTGAGAAGGAGCTTGCTAAGCTCGAGCCCGAGCGACCCAAGTACATGACTAGTCAGGCGCAGCTGGCCGTCTTTGACAACCACATCAAGAAGATGAAAGACCAGATCGAAAAGGCCAAGTGTAGTATCTTGGCCATTCAAGGTGTCTTGCTTGATGAGACTACACAAGCTCGGTCTATGCAATTGATGCGATACGTCATTGTGTGGCTTCTACGGCTTGCTTCGCCCGGTACCAACTTTCCTAAATCAGAGCTTCAGTTGCCTCTACCCGAAGAGCAACCACTGCAGTTCAGGTGTCTACCTGAGTATTTCGTTGAAGACATTGTTGGAAACTTCAAGTTCATCACTCGCTACATGCCGCATATTATCACAACTACTCAGTGCGAGGAAATTGTCAAGATCTGCATTACCTTCCTGAGAAGCTCAGAGTACATCAAGAACCCATACTTAAAGTCTGGTCTTGTCACCATTCTGTTCCACGGAGTATGGGAGATTCACGGTAAGCCAAAGGGCGTGCTTGGTGACACGCTATTTGCACACGACTTCGCCATGAAGCACTTGCTCCACGCACTGATGAAGTTCTACATCGAATGTGAGAGCACCGGAACACATACGCAGTTCTTTGACAAGTTCAACATTCGATACGAGATCTTCCAGGTCATCAAGTGCATCTGGCCGAACCCAGTGTATCGCGAGCACCTTGCGACTGAAGCGCGCGTCAACTTGGACTTCTTCGTTCAATTCGTCAACTTGCTCCTCAACGATGTAACATTCGTCCTGGACGAGTCATTCACCGCTTTCAAGGAGATCCACGATCTATCCCGAGAGCTCAAGAATGCCCCGGCAAACATGGAGCAGACCGAGCGTCAAGAGAGGGAAGAAAAGCTGTCGTCAGCCCAGGGTAAAGCCAAGAGCTACATGCAACTCACCAACGAAACCGTCGCCATGTTGAAGCTCTTCACCGAAGCCCTCGCCGACTCCTTCACCAAAAAGGAAGTCGTCGTGCGCCTTGCCCACATGCTAGACTACAACCTCGAAGCCCTCGTCGGCCCCAAGAAGTCCCAACTCAAAGTCGAAAACCCCGAAGAATACGGCTGGAACCCACGCAACATGCTCGCAGAAGTCACAGACGTCTACCTCAACCTCGAGTCCAAGCAATCCTTCATCGATGCCGTCGCCACAGACGGCCGCTCCTACCGGCCCGAATACATGGACGAAGCCTACAAGATCCTCCAACGCTTCAAGCTTAAAACCCCCGAGCAAATGACACAGTGGGAAAACATGTCCGAGCGTATCAAAACCGCTAAAGAGCAAGCTGATATGGTCGAAGCTGACCTCGGAGAAATTCCTGATCAGTACCTCGATCCTATCTTGGCGTCGCTCATGGAAGACCCAGTCACGCTTCCTGTCAGCAAACAGATTGTTGATAGAGGCACGATCCAGGCACATCTGCTGAGTGACCCGCATGACCCGTTTAATCGGACGCCGCTTAAGATTGAGGATGTGATTCCGAATGATGAGCTCAGGGAGGAGATTCAGAGTTGGAAGGCTAATCTGTTGGCGGAGAAGATGGCGGAGAGGAGTAAGGCTGCGGCGGAGGCTGGGGCGGGGGCGGGCGAGGCTATGGATATGTCGTAGATGGTGAGACAGTATTGGAAGCGTGGTAACGGCGTTTTTGGTCGAGTGTTTTAGGGAATCATGGGGAGGGAGGGTATGCACGGGTATGGATGTCTAGGGTAGAGTTGACGATGATGTTCACGAGGTATACTGGGATCGATGCGGTACAGTGTCACGCCTTATTATGGAGGTCTGATAGACACGTACGCGTGTCGTAGCGTTCTGGGAGATCAAGGTACTTTTCCTGATCAATGGAATGACATTGTCAAAGCTTGTTTGCTGCTCCGCTTTGTGGTGTGGGTTTGTTGGATGCTAACATTTTGGCCATTTGTTTTGTTTCGGGTAATCATGCTGGTCTTGTCGTCGTGATTGACTTTTGCGGCGGAGTCGTCTTGCTTCGTTCAGCCTTCTTGTGGCTTGGTGGGCGGACATCATGTTGGGTTAAAAGATTAAGCGCAAGGCTCCAGCCTTGCAGCTGATCAGTTTTCAGAGCAGGTTGCGTTCCGTTTTAGTGTTGCCTAGAGTGACTTGTGAGAACTTGGGGTATGAGCTGTCTTTTTGTGATCAGTATGAGATGTGATCGACTGGAGCCGCACAGTAATCTCACTAGGATCTTATTGTATGAGTGTAGTATGCATGTTGGAGTCGTGAGCGGCTCGTCGGGTAATGTCTAGCGTGTTTGAGAAGTGCCGATGATGGGAGAGGCAAGGAAATTGAGAGGCTGAGTTTTCCGAATTGGGACTCTTTGTCATGGGGGGGTGGTAGTGGTCGGACGTGTTCTATGTTGTTTGTTGCAATGAGTTCCATTGGTTTGTTTGAATGCTATAGCATGTATGGGCGTCGTTCTCGTGAATCCGAGGTTGTTCTTGTAGCGGTGATTGTGGGAAGTACGTCACGTAGATGCGAGATACATTTCCTCTGACTAAGCTGGGTCATTTGAGCAATGCATGAGTGTGTAGGCTGGAAGAGACGCAGCAGTAGTAGTATCGGTCGTCATAGCACAATAGTGTGTTCGGCCGCGAAGTTACTGTATCTGTTATGGAGCTAACATGTTTATTACAATTCTTGCCATTCCTCCTTCCAGATCCAAAAATACCCCCCAAATCTCGTATCAAGACCTCTTCCAGTGCCCCAAGCACCCACCATGCCAAACGGTGTCATGCGAGCTTCCCACTCACATGACACGTCTTTTGAGAGATATCGTTTCGTCAAAGAAATATCTCCATCGTTGTGTCGCACGCGGCCTTCCAGGGAGAACTCTCCGACAGAGTCAGCCCCTCGACTCTGCGAATCGATAATCGTATATGTGGTGTAGCCGCCGACATCCCACTTTGGTGTATCGGTGTCCCGTGCAACAAGTTGGATACTGTGCATACGTGGATCGAAGCGTCTTCTTCCCAACGCCCTTCGCTGGTCCGAGTAGTAACCCGTCCACCGCCCGGAGGAAAGGAAGTCGGGTGAGAGCATTTGAGTGTGGCTCTCGCCAAACGGTACGTCGTCATCCTCATCTTCGTAAGCGGGTGCTGGATTCTTGGCGAAGATGGTCGGCAAAAAGTGCATGAATGTGTTAAAGGGTATTTTGGTAGGTGACGGGAGTGCAGTCTTGTGCAATGAACTTGATCCATGTACAGCCAGTTCCAGGATTAAAGTGGGGAGCAGAGTCGTAGCTTGATCCAGTCCGAATCCCTCGCAATGTCTCTTGCGGAAGGCACCATAGTCTCGCACTCGCTGCCGAAGGCTCTTGATCGCATCTCCATCCAATCTCACGCCGTTACTCGCCACTATTGGTGGATCTTTTATGTGGTTCACGGAGAAGAAGCGGTCGAAGGGTGCCTTGACTTGCTTCCCGTTTTGCGTCCTTCGCAGTTCCGTCAAGATAGTGTAGCTGAGGATGAAGTTGACATCGAGGAAATTGGGTGAGAATTCATCTGATTGGAAGTGAACCTGTAAGCGGCCTTGAAGCTCCAGGAAAGTCTCGGGCTTAAGCTGTGCAGCTACAGGGTGGTGCAAAGCCATGATATGCGGTAGCCATCTACTCAGTTCATATGAATTGATTCCTTTGGCTTTGCGCAAGGTCCATGTGTCGCCGCTCTCGAGCAGAGCCCAGATGCATCTCTCGGCTGCGTATGCTATGCGGATCGTCTCTTGGAGAGTCGCTTTGGCTAGGACGGAGTCGGCTTCCGCCCAATGGGTTTCCGATAGTTCTATGCCATTTTCGGAGAGCAGGGGCTGTCCTAAGTTGTACTTTGCAATGTTGCGGAATACTATTTTGTCATTGCAGACGGCTCGCAATTGTCGATTGGCTCTTGAAAGATTGAGGGCTGAGGAGCAGGGCAGAAAAGATGCGATATGCTGTGTGAGCTCGTTGGGAAGTAATAGCAAGCTTGTCATAGCAGTTGTGTGATGTGGCTGAATGTCGGATCGAAGATCATGAGAGGAGTTATGACGATGTTTGCAGGGGGTTCACGGGTAGCGCGGCGTTAGCGCACGTGACGATAACGATAAGACACCTGCCCAGGTGTTCACGAGTGCTCGCGAGGGCGACGCGACATTACACTGCGTCGATACACCGACAGACGCGCCGAAAATGCTTCCGGACAACATCGCCAACAGCTACCGAGAATATAAAGCTGATACCGAGATCTTCGTTACGTGGCTTGTTGAAACGGCTAGTCGCTGTGGCTTCATCCCTTCTACCACTGCGCCAGCTCCCGCTACAGCTGGTGGCCGACTCAAGGGGAAAGCGCGCGCGGCTGAACCCAAAGCCCCCAAAGCCAAGTCTTCGCAAGCGCGCAGAATTACCATTAATGATTTGAAAACATGCGCCAGTGCCATAGCAGAGAAACCTCCTAAGAAGTTCGTGGTGCCACTCTACGCCAGCAGAGCAGCAGCTCGAGCGATCCGCCACCGTACCAAGTCGACACTGTGGCACGAAACTCAGACTCAAAATGTTGATGAAGATCTAAAGCCTGCTTTCGCTGCGAGTAATGAGGCGCACGCTACTTTTACGGGAGCTTTGGGATATGTGCTTGATCTGCTGAAGCCTTTCATCACTACTGGCAAAGCGACGCCTAAGCCTGGTGAACCTACTACGCAGACCCCCATTGACGGCCTCAGCACAAGATTCAGCAATCTCGACATCGAGGAATTGGCAGAACAAGAGCCTGAAAGTGGTGGACAGACGACCACCACTGCCAGACCAGCGCCAACTTCGAAGACGACATATACTGTCGATAACCAAAAGGAAGATCGTTTCATCGCCATGAGCATGTTGATAAGGGACTACAATCAGATCAAGACTATTGTCACAGCAACCTGGGATCATTACCGCCAGAATGACGATGTCGACCTAGTTTCGGCGGCGGCAACAACCCAAGCGGCTATGCAGATGACAAAGAGCTTGGTAAATGACTTCTCGAACTCGTTCCCCGAGATAGTGGACGCTGAGGACTTCTGGCATAAGTTTCTTGATGACCCCAAGATCCGCAACAACATTAGCAGAGAAACGGACGAAAATCGCGCGATATTACAAACTTCCGGTGAGGAAGTAGACGAGTTCCTCTGCCATGCCAGGCTCCCAAATCGCTTACTCAACTATGGGTGTCTAAAAACTTTCGTTGATATGTGGAGACTACTTCAAGTCTACTATAAAGCCACCATTTTTCGGCAACGACATGTCTGGATATTACCCCGTGTCGAGACGGGGGAATTTGATTTTGATTGTGTCACTAACCCCAGGTTGCAAGTTCTCACAAACGCTCTCGATGACATCGTATGGATGATCATAGGAGTTCATATAGAACCGCCAGCCATGGATAACTTTACGAAAGCATGGTATACGCACCTGAAGCGAGGCATCTCCGATGATGGCAAGGATGTTCCACACCATCGGTATGCAAAAGACATCTCCATCGAGATGATGCTGTACACCGATCTCTACCTTGCTGTACAGGATATTCTTACTCCATTAGAGTCGCCATCGCAAGAGTCACCATCGCAGGAGTCACCATCGCAAGAGACACTATCGCAAGAGACACCGGCAGAGGAGACGCCAGCAGAGGAGACGCCAGCACAAGTCCGAAAAGATTACCATGACCTGTGGAAGTACGTCCGCAGAGAAGGACGCGTACACAGATTGCTGAAAGCGCCCTTTATTCAAGGTAAAAGGGAGCGCGCAATGCTGACATCCTTCTTCCGCGATCCTCTTGTTGCGGAGAGAAGACTCAGCTGGTTGAGTTCTGATCCAATTTGGGTCGCTCGCGCAGAGAGTGCGAAGAAAGAAGAACATTGGGAAGTGATGCCGCATTCACTCTACAATCGCAATTGCTACGATTTCATCACCATGAATCCCTTCCTTGCTGGACTCATTCTATTCGTGGCTGTGCATGCCACTTGTGATCTCTCGCTTCTTACGCAGAACACGGATGGACTAGTACTTGGATATGCGCATCTCTTCAACTTCCTTCGGCAAGCACATAGTGCGAATAATGCAGACTCGTCTGAAAAACTACTCACGAGAGAGTGGGAAGACATGGAGGCAGCGATTGATTTACTTGGCGAGTCCAATTTCTTTAAGGGCAACAGACCGATTGCACTTGACATGTGTATTCAACGCCTGCTTCGTGCACATGGAATGAAGGCGAGCGATCTTGCACGTGACGCTGGTCGTGTCAAGAAGGGAACAAGGGCCTACGACAGTGGTCAAATAAGCGCCATCAGCACTCCACTCACCAACCTCATCTTCTCGGACGGCGGGCCTAGCAAAACTACGTTTCTCAATATTACAAATCAAGCCATCTCGGAGCTTCTAATGCAGGAAGCTGAGACGTATGCTAGCGACACATTAGATCCCAAAATCATCAAGGGGGCTTGGGCAGCCGGGCCTCTTATCATGTTCCGCGTGCTTCTACAGCGCGAGTTGCCAGCGCTCCTCTTTCCTCTCGACACCGTACAATCTCACTGCTCTGAGATCAACAAGAAGATATTTGCAGCTCTGGATTCGACAATGGCGCAGCCAAATGTTCGCTCAAAGCTATGGATGAACTGGCAAAAGAAAGGAACAATACCTGTCAACTTACTGTTCTACGAACGTGGTTACCACAAGCAGAGTCAGGCTCCTGGGCCGATCCCCAAAGATGTGACTGGAGTGCATAGTCTTCCCATTCACGAAGCCGCCGAAATCATAACCGATTACCTGGACGAGCTACGCAGAAAGCGTGAGAATGCGGAATGCAAAACGGTTCTCGATCACTATGCAAAGTAAGCCCATGATTTCGGAGTCCCCACCCCTGTAACAAACCTAACACCTCGCCTGCAGAAAGCTCCGTCTCCCAAATCCTCTGCTGCACAGCGCTGCTGGAATTACTCGTATCATGGGGATGAAGGTTTTCACTGACTTGACAATCAGCATGCGCAACTTTGGCCGTGCGGAGGATGCTGACGGGAATCGATGGGAAACGCTACCAACTTTGTTCCGCAAGTATGTTGCAGACCTGAAACCTGTTGAAGGAGAGGACACGAAAATCATATTACAAATTAATGGCGGGGGCGTTCGTAGGTTTATGCCGCATGACGAAGCTGATGTAGATACCTAGATCTCCTTATGTTAGGGTCGTACGTAGACTGTATTCCGAAATGGAAGAAATGTGTCACTATCACAGGCCTGTTTCGAATACTGGAAAGGTCAATTTTCGAAGATTACCGTCCACTGCAGATAGCTTTGTTGGGCTACCACTTGGGGAAGTCTGAGAGAATCTCGTAACAACTAAGATTGACACATGTCTGCTCTTCACGAACAAGTCTTCAAAGTCAAGGATTGGGATTATCAGATATGCTCAACGCATCTTCCCTCAGTTTCTATGCGAGTAATTAAGTCCGCTACACGTGAGAGGTTCTTGTACGCATCGTCATGCCTCTTATGATACTCTCCAGACGAGCAAGTGTGTCGGCCGAATGCACGTCTTTAGTTTCATTGAAGATGAATGAAAAGTCCCAATCTTCCATTCTGAGATGGCTTTTGAAGACCATTGTGATGTGCGATATCGCTTTAGCAGCAGCGTTTGTCGTTCTCCCGACTTGAGCCAAGGAGTCTGAAGTCACCATTTGTTGTATAGCCCTGCCAGAATGTCTTAACACAAGACCAATCACCGGCTGCTGATGGGCTGTCAGTAAGCTTGCCGACGCGAGCACACGTTCGGCGGCCCTTTTCTCAAGATCGAAGCCGAGGTTGTAGTCTTGGAGGTCCACGAAGAAGACGTATGCAGTTCCATCTCCCGGGCGGAGTGTATTCGGATCGACTATTCTTACTGAACTAGCATAGCCAATTGGAAGCTGGAAAGCAACGTCCTCGAAAGCCATTCTTGTCCCTCTGAGAAGATCCGCAAGCCGGGCTGTGCCCTGAAACGGATTGGAAGAGTTTACTGGCAGGACACTTTCTATGCGGTGAACAAAGCTAAGAAATAGTCAGCCGAGGTCTTGCACATGCGCGTATAATATCACGTACGACCTAGCTGCATAGTTGCCACTGGTAACGCTCAACCCACGATCAGGTATAATCTGAACCCAAAAGACCATCTTGCCGAACTCAACCCTCTCTCTATAAGCGTTACGGACGTGCGGGTCTTGAGCCAATTGCACTGCATCATTCCAAATCCGCGTACAAGCTCCTAGCGCCTTATGAGATACCGAGTGCAGCTCAGAGTATCGCTCTAGGTACTCTTCAGTTCGCATGAATCGCATGACAATTCCGGCGTCTTCTTCATCGCAGTGGTCTGAACGAGTCCTGACGATAGTGATTACAAGGCTCAGGAAGAGCTTTCGTAGCTCCCACTGGTGTAAGGCCCACTCGTCGTGAAGGTGATGTTGATCAGTTTGAATGGTGTCAATCAACAAATCCATGCCGATCTGGTCAGGTCCTAGGAAGCATATACTCTGCAAGCTTCCGGGCGTTGGTGTTGGTTCTACTGCCGACGAAGCTATTGGGTGAGATCTGAGGGTTTGCTGCCGTCGCCTTAGCAGATCTCTGACTGACCCCCGGAATGCCCGCTCGTAGACTCCCGTAGAGAAGATGTTCGAGTCGAATTCGAAGACACGCGATATCTTTGACATGTTGTCGGTCATCTTGCTGGTGAGAGATGCAGAGTCACGATGAACATAGAGAGATATCGAGTCTGCTTTTGCTCGATCCAGGACTTTCCTAGTCTTGTTTGTACCGAGAATACGTTGCTGCTCAGAGAGAGTTTTGCTACACATCTAAGTCAACATTGTCACGCTGCTATTCGGCGTAATACTCACCAGTTACAAGCTGTCAGCAAAAGAGTCAGTGAGCTCGTTTGGTGCTCGATGAGCTTCTGTACACTTTCCGGCCCGTAACTTCCGAATACAACTTTGAACTTGTCGCGAAGATCGAGTGGTTTCTCCGTTAGTTGCGCAAGGTCGGAGAAGAAGCTCTCGATCTCGGTCATCAGTAACTTGCAACAGGATACCGATACGTCCAGGTCCATGACAAGTTGGTGATGGGTGTCTTGGAGATCTTGATCTATCCATTCTTGTATCTTTGTCGAGGCAGCCCGTAGAGCAATGAGCTGGGACGCAAGACTCAACAAAGTAAGATCAGCCTCGCCCCACTTCGTCTGAAGGTCGCTGATGGTACCGACGACTTTACTGATACCGTTCACGATGCTGAATATCGAACCCACTCCGCCGAGAATTGCGCAGACTTCTGCCATCTTTGTAGCTTATCTCAATCTCGTGGCATGTCTGAAAGCCTTCCTGTTAGCCAAGTGCTGTCAATGCCGAATGGGAGGAATACCCGCGGTTGTATGAGTTGCAGATACAGGAGAAAAACAATCGAGAATGGAGATACCATCGAGTTGTCAAGTGCAAAAGTTTCGGCGAGGCTTTAGATGGTTTGAGGCGCAGAACACCAGTTCCAGTATCCAGCCCCCACGCTACGCCCACTGAAGTCAGTCAGACGAAAGCCCGATTGGTCGACCCGCCGTCAGCTGAAGCTTACATTACTCTGGATAAATTGAAAGTGTATTGAAAGCGATCTCACAAGAATGTGTACGAACATACGAATAATGGTCTAGCATTGGTAGCGACCACAAATGCAGCTTATCGACACTCGAATGAGGCAGCCTCGTCAGGATTTTCTCCAACATATACCATGTGCTTGGGCCATAAGCAAAGCTGCGCCTTCCTACCCTGCGTAGTCTCCGCTTCCAGCACCTCAGGTGCCGCACCCTTCTCTACCCAATCGATGAGGGTCTTGAGACTATCGCCAGGATACCAACCCAGCCCACCCCCGCAGTGATCCACCCCAGGCGCCTCAAAGTAGCGATAGTAATCACTGGAATTCGGATCACGCTCATGCACCTGCTGCGCATAGTGCGCAGTCGCATCAGGCGCGATAGCCATATCCGCCAGCCCATGCCACGAAAGGAGCTTGCCACCCGCTTTTCGAAACCCGTCAAGATCTGTGTTTGCGGTTCCGATAACAGAGTCATAGCGGGCTACAGCATCGTGGAAAAGTTGCTCGAAGTATGTGATGTTCATTCGTGCGGTGTCGTATTCGCGGTCGCGGATGACAAAGTCGGTAATCCAGGTTTGAGGTACGGCAAACGGTACGCCGACGCATGAATTGTTCTTGCTGCATGTTGTTGATGCGAGGCCAACGAATGAAGCCCCGATGTTGCCGGGGTACCACAGAAAATCGCCTTCGGGAGTTGTTGCGCCTTGCCATATCAACTTTGCTACCTTGGCTAGGGTATTCGTGATGGTCATGCTTTGGTTGGTAGAGGGACAGAGGTATTGTTTGCCAACGACGGTCATTGGGTCAAAGGTGCAGTCTTGAGGTGCCAATATGATGCCGTCCTCCAGACCATCGAGACCGTCGCAGGCTTCGGCAACAGCAACGTTGATAGCCTCAAATTCCTGCGGAGTCGGAAACCCTGTTGTCTGTTAGTCATTCATCTCTAGCAGTTGTTTGAGTCCTGACCATTCTCGTTCATGACAACCTGCGGCCAGAAAAGTTGCATCATTAACTCGTTCCAGTAGATAGCCGGTGCAACCGCCAAGATACCATCATACTGATTGGGGTACTTCTGCGCCATCATGTAACCTTGTCTTCCGCCCTGCGAACATCCATTCCAATAGCTATAGCTCGGTGCTTTGCCATAGTAAGAATGAATGACCGCCTTGCCCAGCGTCGCGGCATCATCTAAAGAGATCGAGGCAAGGTCTTCTAGCAACACCCAGTCGACTTTGCCAGAGTTAGTAAGCGACCAGCTGATATCCTGCCCGATGTGACCTCCGTCTGTCGCGACTGTAACGAAACCCTCGCTGGCCGCCCATGGGAGTGTGGTGTTGGTTTCGGGTCCCGCAGCCCATCCTCCACCACCGGCGCCCAAGAGTCTTCCTGTCCACTTCTCAGGCGAGGGTAGCCAAACGACCGTGTGGATAGTGTCATTAGAGCCGGGATGCGTGTACGTGATGATCACTTCACAAGCGTTCAGATCGGTCACCGCAGTGGCGTAATGGTTTTGCTCCGCGGGAACTTCGAATGATAAGTTCGTGTGTGTTTTTGTAGCAATGTCGAGAATCTCGCCGCCTGGCAGCTCCAGGTTTTGGAAGGAAGAAGCTTCGCACACTGATTCTCCGAAGGCTGGGCATGTCAAGAAACCCAATATAGAAATGGAGGAAATGAGACTTCGTCTCTTCCACGGAGTTGTGTGCTGCATCGTAGTCGCAGGAAAGACTGAGAAAGCTACTCGTCAAGAGTTACTTACACTGCATACATTGCTTCCTTTACTTATAGCAAGCGCATACTGGACTCATTTGCATATTCATCCTGAACCGAAGGATTCAACTGAATACCCATAGGGATACCTACGTTGGTCAGTTTGCGACAAAGGCTGCGGCCATGCCAATATGAAAGGAGTATCAGCTGCCACCAGGCGCTCTAATGCCATCCAATCGTGACAATGATCGATTCTAGCGTGTCTCTCGATTGAAGTATGCAAATTGGTGGACAATGGCTGAGTCATGTATTCATGACTTGAGCCGCGCCTCAAGCTTTTGAAACAAAGGGCGTTTAATCTAAACCCCTGTTGTGGCGGTTTGAGTGGTTTTGAGGCCATTTTGTTAATGTGATGTCTTGCATTGTTCAATATGCTGTGCCGCTTTGGATCATCTCTTCTTGCTCCAGATGTTGCTTTTGTTAAGACCCGTAGATGAAGTGGTAGTGGATGACGACCGTTGATGGTTGAGGTCTCTGTACCCTTTGAGCGCGGCACACCGCTTTCCGTCGCACAGATCCCATGAACCGAGTTCGTGTGGCTTCAGGTCGCGAGCATCGGACACTGTCTTCGTATGGTCGTCGCGTATCGCGGTTGATGGAGCATGGGTGATTGTGCGACCAGCGACGCAAGGTCGGCCATGTGTGCGGCAGCACTATGCCTATTCTGGAACACCCGAAGACGTCACCACGCGTCAGTTTCGCGAAGTATCACAAACCGTCCTCAACTTCCGTCAGCGATCACACCTTTGAGTTGATAGACACGTTTGTCTTTCTCACCAAGCCTACAACGAAATACCGATTCGGCTCTTGAATTACCCCACATACCTCGTGTGGGGCAACAGCTACCCCGAGACCGCCCCGCATCGGTCACGTACCGGTCGGAACTATGCCGCCCGCATGTACAGCATGGCAAACTTCATATCTTTGCGACAATCTCTAGTCTGAGAGAAGAAGCCACTGATACCCTAAGATCTACTATTAATTCACCGCGACCATGGATCCAGCGCAATTCGGCTACAGCACCATCCCCCTCAACCACGCGCCATATGGCCCCATCGTTTCATCCGCTCTAGAAGGATCCAATGCCGAAAAGGTAGCACTGGTAACAGGAGCTGGACAAGGCATCGGTGCCGCCATCGCAGAATCGCTAGCGAAATCAGGGGCCCACATAGCCATCCTCGACCTAAACACCGACAACCTCACACAAACCAAGAAGACATGTTCAGCTTTCGGAGGAAAGGTTGAGGCATATGGCTGCGATGTCACAGATACGGAGCGCGTGAAGGAGGTTTTCGCGCAAGTGGAGAAAGACTTGGGACCGATTGATATACTGGTGAACAACGCAGGCATATTTACTCAGCGACCGTTCATCATGGGTAGCTTTGACACGTTTTGGAAACAGATCGAGGTCAATTTCAAGGCTGTAAGTCTGTCTTTCCGTACATTAGTGTGTCTTTACTAATGTATGTCCAGCCTCTGATGCTCATCCACGCCGTCCTTCCACAAATGCGCGACCGCGGCCACGGCTGCATCATCAACATCGCCTCTCGCTCCGGTACTGTCGACGTACCCATGACTTTGGGATACGTGACGTCAAAAGCGGCCCTGATGCGTGCTACACACACATTGCAGCTGGAGATGGAACTCGATGGGCTGGACCCAGCAATTCATATGTACGCGCTGCATCCAGGTGGTGTGAGGGGCAACATGGGCGGAGGTAAGATATGACCGTTGGTACACGACGCCGACAATCATGCTAACGTAATGTAGCTGGCGCGCCAGATGATGTGAAGCAGAAGTACGGCGACCTTACGGATGAAGAGTTCTTCAAAGACCTGTTCAAGGATGGACCGTCACTTTGCGGTCAGACGTGTGCTTGGCTAGCTAGTGGAAAGGGGAAGGAGTTGAGAGGGTTGTTTCTGGGTAAGAAGCACACGATCCGTGTATCGAAGCCTTGGGACTGACGACATGCAGACTGCCGGCAAGATGTGACGAAGCTGTTGGACATCGGACGAGAAACACTACTGAAGGAGAACAGGAATAGGCTGACAGTGAACTTTATCGATGGATACTGCAACGAGCCATGATGATGGGAAATGGAAGCCAATGTATATTCTAGGGGGTGAAGAGTCGGCATATTACAAGATAAAAGGCAAATACTCAAGAACAGAACAAATTCAATATACAATCCTCCACCTTTCCTCCCCTCCACTCAAATCGTCCTCCTGAATCACTCTTCCCTTTTCGCGACATGTAGGCGACGAAAACCAAGGCCCCTGTGGGATACACCTAGTACACGGGCATCTTGAACGCATCAAAAGTGTGCGTCCAGCTCTCAATGGACGCCTCATCCTGAACACACTCAAAGTCAGAGCTGTTCCCAGACCAAAGCGGTCGTGCAGGCCACTGGCAAAGTTGCTGCACTTCACCAGCGTTATCACCCGCTGACACAGTCGCATTGAGGCGACTGGGCTTACTCCCATTCTCAACCCAATCAATGATCGTAGCCATGTTGTCCTGGGGATACGGACCAGGCTGGAGCTTATTGGCACCGCAGTGCGCCGCGCCGGGCACGAGGTAGAATTGGTACCAGTCAGCCATGGCTTCCTGGGCTTCGGCATCGGTCATGTTGGGGTACATGATTGAACGGACGGACTGCCAGTAGTGGACGGAAGATGCAGCGGGAATGGAGGGGTCGGATTCGCCGTGGTAATGGATCATCTTTGCGCCAGAAGATTGGAACGGAGTGAGATCGGGTAGAGTGGTTTGCAGGCTGTCGAGGTAGCGGACCATGCCTATGTTCATCCATTCTACAAGCGTGTCGTAGGTGACGTTGTCGAGGTTGGCGAGGTTGTCCAGGTCGAGTAGTTGGACGAACTTGGTCACGTACTCGCCACCAGTGGAAGGAATACTGAGCTCCCACTTCCCAGTCGCGTTGTTGTATGTTGGATCGGCATCGCTGAGCTCGGAGCCAATTTGCCAGGAGAGGTATGCGCGCTCACCCTTGGAGTTATGTAGACCGTCATAGACGCCCTGGGCTACCGCGATATCGTCGGCAGTGATGGTGCCGTTCTGTTCGGGCTGAGCGCTAGTTTGGCCGCCCGGCATTTGGCGCTTGTTGAGGCTGCGCTTGCTGAAGCCGAAGCCGAGGGATGTGCTGGTCTGGGCGGCGCAGTAGTAGCTTTCGCCGATCAAGGAGCTGAGGTTGAAGTTGAGTTTGCAAAGGTCGGTGCGAGAAATGACACCTAGAGTGACTTATGTTAGTGCATTACCACATTGCCGAAGAGATTGTACTTACCATCAGTACGTCCATCCAGAGGATCACAGGCAGCGATAGTGGCGTTGACTATCTTAGCTAAAGCGCATGGTGGAGGATAGTAGTCGTTGATAACGTTGATGGTAGCAGGGTAGACATGAAGCACCTGCTGCTGCGCAAAGCGGAAAGCAGGCGCACCAGCTACGACGCCGTCGTACTCCTCGCCCCAGCGCTGGACCTGGCTCATAGCCTCGCGGCCACCATCAGAGCAGCCCTCGAAATAGGTGTATACCTTGGTGTCGTTCAGACCGTAGAAAGCCTGTGTGAGCGGCTTGCCAATCTTCGTCAACTCCCCGAGCGCGGTGTAAGCAAAGGCGTAGGTAGCATCCCAGTTGATGGTTCCGTTACCATACAGCACTGCCTCATCATAGCTCTGATTGAAAGCGTCGTAGCCTGCCGATGTGGCTCCAGAAGCTGCGTCGTATGGCAAACCTCCGGTGGCAACGCTCTGGAGAGAGAAACCTCCGCCACCAGCAAGGTAGAAGCGATTCGCGAAGCTCGAAGGATCAGGGAAGGCGAATCTGAGGGGAATCACGTCTCCCTTTCCAGTATGGGTGTAGCTGACAGTGACGTTGCAGTAGGAGTAGGTAGCACCATCCGTTGTCGACGCTCCCATGCCGCTGCTTTCAAGGGTAGCATTGTAGAGCGCACTGGCAGTCACGGTGCCAGGTAGCAATTCGATTCCAAGCAGAGTGCCGTTAGAAGGAAGAGAGGCTTGCACGTTCGATACTGTGCAAAGTTCAGCTAACGAGGCTGCATTGGCGGTCACTGCCATGGCGGCAGCAGTTGCGCAGGACGAGTGTCGCATGATGAATGTATAACCGAGAAGAACGTAGGAACAAAGCGAAGGTAGAAGATAGAGAAGCTATATTAGCGGGGTGGTGTCCGAGATATCTGTCGCGGTATCTCCAGCATTATATACTCCTTTCCAGTCCTGACTCGGGCTTTTGACTCCGCCATCGCAGTCGCAGTAAGGAAACCCAATCTGTGGCCGTAGACTTTTTCCATACTCACAATGGCCCCCTGACAATCTCTTAGTTGACCGTCATCAGATCTGTGGAACCATTCTTGTCCATGCGTGCCCTACCAGAGGTCTGTCCGGCGATGTCTGGCACTGTAATGACGGCAACTTCCGCCTTGCGCAGCATTGCAATACGTGTTTAGTGATGCAAAAAATGAAGAACCATAGTGCGCCGGCTGTATCAATCGTTGCGCCGCGTCACTCGCAGGCTGCTTGCTGGTCGTAGACGTGAGCTGAAGACGCGTTCTCGGTTAGCGTGGAGGTGGCCCAAGCTTGGAAGAGCCTTCTTCCAGACAAGCCTCGCTGCACACGCTTTCGAAGGCTTTTGCTGTGCAATGCTTGCAGCGAAGTTTTCACGCGGATGAAAGATCAAGCGGCTGTACAGACATGAGGCCGCGTATTATCGCGGCGAAGTTTCGGGATTGAGCGATGGAATGGGCAGTTCGCCCGAGGTAATGGATCAATCTTTATCATGACATTATCTGATTGTTTGCAAGTAGGTTGCTATATGCAGAGTGGGCGTCACTCGGCGCGTATATGTGGAATCTACGCTTCCGATCACACTGTCTCTTTTGTCTCAACATGCTCCGTGCTGAGCCCCTTCTCAAACTTCTCCTCTTCATGCGCAGCAATCCTGGCATCAGCTTCGATGAATTCGGCTGGGCGATGTAGCTGTATAGCGAGCTTGTTCCGATGGATCAAGATACCGGGTTGCGTTTCAAAGAAGCGATCGATATCTTCAAGCGTCCGGTTCGCCGTCTCTGGGTAGAGGAAGTACGTGATCGGGATGAAGGAGAAGCAGATGACTGCCCAGATGATCCAGAACTTGTAGCCTAGGTTCTGAATACCGGGAAGGGTTGCTTGTACAACACCATAATTGCAGATCCAGTTGGTCGCCATCGCGAGTGAAGCGCCTTTCGTCCTCATCTCAAGCGCGTTGATCTCGGTCGGGTACAGCCAAGGCACCCCTAGCACGCCCATGCCAAAGCTGGCGAAGAATACGAAGAAGAACGCAACAGCGACGATGCCGAGCTTGTACGAGTCGCCACCTTTCTCGGTCTGACCCTGCGATGCTGCGATGACGATCCAACAAATGGAGCATGCCGCAGCCGAGACCATCATGACCTTGCGACGTCCATATCGCTCAATGACGAAGTATGCCAAGCAAGCAAAGATGAGATAGTCGACAGACCCAGCAGCAGCGAGGATGCGCGATAGTAGCTCGGATATCCCCAAGGCGTTGATAAAGATATAAGACATGTAGTAACTCGTAACGTTGATTCCGGAGATCTGGTTCATGGCCTGCATCCATGCGCCCAGAAGCATGCGTCGCAGCACACCGCTTGGGCCCTTGCCTGTAAGGAGCTGCGTCCATGTGTACGTGTTCATTTGCTCGCGGTCGAGGATGTCCTTGATGATGTTGTACTGCGTGATAACCGAGGGTGATTCTGGGGTCGCTCCATGGCCTTCGAGCGCAGCAAGAACTTCCAAAGCTTCATCGATCTTGCCTTTGCGGATCAGCAACCGAGGGGAGTCTGGTAGGAATGGGCACATGGCGTAGATGCATAGGGTGAAGAAGAGCTGAAACGCGAGCGGGAAACGCCATGCGATATCGCGCGGTGCGAACGAAAAGCCGAGAGTAAGCCAATTCGAGATGCTGAAGCCGGTGATGCAGTTCGCTGTTGACGAATTAGCCAAAATGTCACACTGTATGTTGCAAATGCCGTACCCATCTGGATGATAACGAGCTTTCCTCGACTGTTCATCTTACTGGTCTCAGCCTGCCAAACTCCAGCCGTTGCCGTGTTCATGCCAGTACCAAGCCCCGCCACGATGCGCCCAACCATCATGCTCGCTACAGTCCAACTACATGTCTGAATGATTGCACCGATGCCAATGATTGTCGAACCGAGGAGAATCTGCCTTGGGCGTCCGAGAATGTCGCCAGTCCATATGGTACTCATTGCTCCGATGAAGCAGCCGATGTTGTAGATGGACGTCATCACACCTTGCATGTTGGCAGACGGGTAGCCAAAGGTATGGAGGAAGTTCTCTGAGATGATGACATTGCCGAAGACACCTTGATCGTAACCGTAGAAGCTAATGAGTGTCAGACAACCGCGTTGCAAGATGTCTTGATCGTAGCTTACACGAGTACCGTACTGGCAGCGATGGAAATCCATACTGTCAGCCGCTCACCAGAGCCTCCAAGATATTTGCGTGCCATGGTCGCGTACTCCCTGCCCAGCTACGGATGTCACGAAGTTTGTGATCGTGGATGCGGAGTAGGAGATGTCGTGGAAGGAGGTACCCCAAATCGAGAGATGTCAATAGCCGGTCCAATGCACTGGGCCTGTACCAAACTTTGTCATCTGCAACGGGGTCGCAGCGTCGATCAGCTCTTTATACCGGGCATGAGCCCTGGCTCGGGATTTTCTCCGCTTATCATTATCCTCGTTATGCGAAGCTTGTCAAGCCTCACAAGCCTCTGGTCGTCTCCAGATCCACTGAGCTTCCCCAGACTCTGATCACCTACCCCATACCCCATAGGCCGAAGGCCCACTCAGTCCACGCTTGAGCTCTGTGATTGGCGATGGCGGCGTTTTAGCCGAGCAAGGAGACAATGAGTGATCAAAGCGCAAGGGTGGTAAGGCGAATGCAGCGATGTTGAGGTTGCAAGTAGGGACATGATGCATCGCGGAATACTTATTCAGGGAAGGCGGAAAGATGCGTCGGCTGATGAGCACGGAAGGTGAAGCGAGCGCGGGGTAGCGAGGAAGGTGCGCCGAGTGTGGGGAAAATCGATGCCTGATGCTGAGGTTCAACGCCACAACACGAAAGCTGCAAAAACCTTAACATTCTTGTACGAGCCTCTGAAACAAAGCTGGCAATACAGCCGGTATATCATGCCCAGGCTCTTCCCGGGCATTCAACCACGCGAGTGCCGAATGAGGGAGGTAGCCTCGGGAACTCCCCGCAGTACTCCTCTCCTCCAATATATTCCACGGAAGAAATAGACTAAACTTGAAGTCGCGCATCATAGTCCCCTGATCTGCGCATCATATCCAAACATGTCGAGCGCAAGGTCTTCCACTTCGAGGAGTACTTCCGGCATACGAGAGGTATACGCACGAACTCATTCCTTCCACCGGTAAAAGGTCGCTCGCGGCTTCTTCGTGTTGATGATGAACTCAAAATGCGAAAGTATAAAGAGACGGGATGTTCGTATAGACGGGTAGGAAGCACATCGACCAGGACATACACACCATGATCTTAACCAACTCTGTTCTTCTGACCCTCGCTGGAGCGACCCATGTCGCGTCGCAGTCGTTCCAGCAGACGCCTGTTATGGGTTGGAACTCCTACAACCAGATGTCATGTAGCCCAAACACCCAGAAGATCACCACCACCATTAACTCGCTTGCGAGTCGCGGTTTCGTCGATGCTGGCTACAAGTTCTTCCAGATCGATTGCGGATGGGCTTCAAGAGATGGACAACGGAACGCTACTAGCGGTGCACTGAAGGTGGATCTGAAAGCCTTTCCGGGTGGGTTGAAGCCTTTGAGCGACCTTGCAAGATCAAAGGGCATGAAATGGACAATGTACTCGGATGCCGGTGTGAGAATGTGCGACCCAGAGGCGCCGAGCCCTGTCTTGGGCTCATTAGGTCATGAAGCTGCGGACGCGGATTTCTTCAAGACGCTGAACACTGAATACGTCAAGTGTATGTCCGAAGGAACGTGGTCGCGCACTGTGATCATCAAGCTGACAGCCTTCCAGATGACAACTGCTATGCCGACGGGCCTGCAGCTAGCCAGAATGCTCCCAAGAACGCCAGAACCGATTTTGTCACCCGCTTCGGTGTCATGTGGAAGGAACTGCAACGAGTTGGCATCCCAGGGATGTTAATCTGTCAATGGGGCGTGCCATTCACAACCTCTACTGGCCTCCAGGGACCTGCTCAGTGGACGAAGCCCATCTCGACATCCTTCCGACTATCGGACGATATTACATCAGGTTGGGCGTCCATGTTCCGCATCTACAACCAAGCTGTGCACATCGCCAAGTCCGGTCTGGTCGCTCCAGGACACATCGCCGATGCTGATCTGCTCATGGTCGGCAACTCTGGTATGACATTCGACGAGCAAGCTACGCATTTCGCTGCGTGGGCTATGCTGAAGTCGGCGCTCATGGTCTCGACCGACGTAGCGGCTCTGTCAAATGAACTCGTCGCTGTTCTGCAAAACAAAGACCTGATTGCGATCAACCAGGACTCCGCCGTCAAGCCGGTCACTCTCCGTCAGCGTTGGAGCGGAGATCGCGACCTTTGGGCTGGCGACCTCGCCAATGGAGACATGGCCGTCTTGGTCGTAGACCTCAGCAACACTGCGCGTACGCTGAGCCTGCAGCTTTCCGAACTCGACATCGCATCGGCATCTATCAAAGATCTCTGGACGGGTAAGACTGTCAGCGAGGCTTCCCTCTCCAAGCAGGTCAAAGCGCACGGATCTCTCGCCATCCGCCTCTCGAACATTCGCCGCTCGACAGCTGCCAAACCTACTTACAAGTACGTCTCTGCATCGACAGGCTCCCTCTCCTCGGGAGCATCCACCCAGTCCTGCTCCGGCTGCACCTCGTCCAACAAAGTCGGCAACCTGGGCGGCTCGTCAAACGGTCGCGTAACGCTCTCCAACATCCGCACCTCCAAAGCGACACAGACAGTGTACTTTGACTACATCAACGGCCAGGTCGACTACATGGGCGGCAGCAACGAGCGCGTCGCAGCGATTAGCGTGAACGGAGGTGCGGCAAAGACCGTCAGCTTCCCTCTGAGCGGATACAACTGGGACAAAGATGTATATAAGAACTACGGCGTCGAGTTGTCGGGTTTCAGCACCACGGGTACCAATACCATCACCATCTCTGGTGTTGGAAGTGCGTACGCGCCGGATGTTGACAGGATTGGTGTGATCGCGTAGTGTGCGACCGGCCTCAATTCGGCGCGTTTCTGTCTTTCCAGCCACGCTTGATTAGCCGGCTCAGCCACCTTTCTAGCGGTCTGGACATCTCCTTTGCGACGTACTACGGATGTTTATGAAGCACAATGAATGAACATCACTATATTTTCGGTCCGACGCCAAACCTCCGGCTGGGTATCATGTACATACGCACACAATCCGCTCTTCTGTAAGCGTTCTGTCAGCCAAGTTCACCGCATCATCGCATTGAATTTCTCCGTGTCGAAATCTCGTGCGCTAATCGAGTGGTTGTTTGAGCTCTCCCATGTGCCAAATCTTACGATGATTGATGCGATATCTGCGTATTCGGTGTTTCTCGCATCTAGGCTTACCTGGTAAAATGACTGACCGCGTTTCCAGCGCAGCGCAGCATAGCACAGTGCATCTGACGTATGCGCATCTCTTAGCAATTCAGCGCATGAGCAAATATTAAATATCTCGGCCCTACAATACGCAGGTACAATGATGAATACATAAAGATCTTCACATCCTCCGTTTTTTGCTTCATCACTCTAGATCTACAGTCGCACATCACCACTTCAAACTTCATTCTCCAACCTCAACAGATATCCCAAGATGCAACTCCAGTACCTCCTCCCCGCCGCGTTCTTTGCCGCCGCAACCATGGCCGCAAAGTTCAACGGCTTCTCCAATGTTGCCTGCCAGCAGTACGACGGCACCTACATCCCCATGACAGCAACCCAACTCCAAGATATCGTCGTCAAGTCCTGGGCGACTACGCAAGAAATCCCCGAAGCATCGCGCTCCTTCACTGCGCCTGATGACAAGAAGCTCTGCCCTTCTAACTCGGATGATACGTACAAATGGGTGAGTACTATGATCATACAGCTTGGCTTGATAAAATGGTATCTGACTAGTCTTGTTTTTGCGTTCTAGGTCTCGATCCCGCAGTGGTCGCAGGGAAGCAAGTGGCCTGCTGGTAATGGTGGTGCGCTGGCGGTGGTTTACTACAAGGAGACTGATACGTACAATGTGTGCCGTTATCTCTCCGCTGCTCAAGCGGATGGGTACAAGGGTGCTTGCAAGTGGGAATGATGGTAGATCACTCGTGTCATGAGCGACAATCTGGACGAATCAAAGAGTGGCGGAGCGTGTATATACATAAATATATTGAGTGTGGTCGTCGCAACGATTTTTGGTTCATCATGTTTGCATCACGCGTTACGTTAGTCAGCGGCGTTACATTCTCGCTACTCTTTTGCTAGCATCGATTTACCCAGCTGGGTAGGATATTGCTTCGTTAGACTTTCACTCTATGTCTATTGCGTTAGATCTATAAGGTGTCATGCATAAACAAGCGGTACGTCAAGTTTTAAACACCGTGAAGCTATTTGTATTTTGTATTGGATGAAATTTGACACGCATAATAACTACTGATAGTCCACAAAACGCACATTGGTCACCTGGGAAACCCACTTTCGTGGTACCAATAGTGGGAAAGAACGAAGCGGTGTCATCTGATGTCAAGAGTGCCATATTCACGATAAAGCAAGATGTCGATGCTCTTACAGCCTATACATTTGCTTGAAAGCTGCTACGCCTCCTGGCGGTCGTGACACGGATCTGCTGAAAATTTCGGCGTCCCACTCGTCGAGGAATTGCTGCGGTGTCCAGTGCTTCCGGGCTTCTATCATGCTTCTAGCATCCCAAGGAGTACCAGCGTCTCCATCGAAGTGGATGGAGCCAGAACCTTCGGTGATCTGTCGGACTACCGCGTAGAATGAGTCCGGTAGATGATGAGGCAATTGGAATCTATCCTTCAGTGCCGTTTCGCCCAAAGATATACCCCAGTACAGTGGATCGTACAGCTCACTGAGTTGTACATCGTCATGTCCTTGCATATAGTCAGACTTGAGCATGGCCTCTTGAAGGCTAGCTGCATGCTTAAACGTCTCCCATGCGATGAGGCTTTCGTCTTGATGACCCTCGATATGAATGCTGAGAGCCTCGGGGTGCGGGATGCGATCGAAGGTAGAAAGAACCTCGTCCAAGAAGTCTGCAAACGGGCGTAGCAATTCTACCTTCGATATTATACCTTCGTTCGGGTTTTGGTCGTCGAAAGGCGAATGTAGCCAGAATGGGTGTGTAAGGTTTGTCCAACACCCCACGTGCAAGTCAATCCGGAGGTTTTTATTCTCGCAGAGGTAGGGTTCAAGAGATCTTGCGTGTGACTCGGGGTAAGCTACGGCCAATTTGTTCTCCCGGATGATGAAAGGAAGTCGTATGCGCAATCGAGTACTCTGGGGCAACCTTTTGAGGTAATCGACTGCAACAGTTGTAGCAGAGAAGTACCAAGCTAAAGGTACGATAGGCTCGTCCCATGTCACACGGCGATCAGTATCTCGGGGGAGGGGGTCGGCTAGAAAAGACTCGAGAGCAAGATCAGTCTCGGTCGGAATCAGCGCCAGGTCCGGCTTCCACGTGAGAAGGGCGTTCTGGCATCCAGGTGTGAATGGAGGCATCATGCCGCGACTGGTATACGGGCTAACGATGGACTCGGCTATGAAGTGATCGAATTTGGGATGCGAGGATGCGAGCTCTAATGTGTATTGCAAAGCGTCGCAGAAAGTTGCCGACGTCTGCCACCGCCAACTATAGTCGGTTTGATTGACTCCAAACGTGGTGTATAGCTCATTCCCTTCCTTTATTGCACTGTATGCTTTTCGATAGCAGCGGGAAATGCCGGGAAAGCGGGTAGCCACCTGATCCACCATCTCGGGGGTGACGCATTCGCCCTTGGCCACGAAGTGCAGCATGTGCATCTTCATACGCCTCGCGCTTTGTGTCAGTCGCTCAAGTCGTCCAGCTTTGGAGTCAAGATCCTTTACGCTGATGCAGTCTTGATCAGAACGCACAGGGAAGAAAGTTAAGGTGTTGGCTCGCATGGCCGCATCCTTCATCTCCTCAGCTGCTTGCTTGCAGCAGCGTGTCAGCGCAGTCATCTCCTGATGTTTTTCTTGGGTTTCGTACCGAAGCTTGTCCGAGGCATAGTCGTAGAAAACGCCATTTTCATCGTGCGCATAATGTTCGTAAATATTGTCGCGCAATTCCCGGGGGAGGCGGAATAGAGGTGACTGCAGTTGGTCCAACATTGTGAGAAGTATGACAGCGGTAATTCCAGGTAATAGTAGATTGATGGTGGATATGGAAATGATGATGGAAAACTGATGGGAATCGATGGTTTAAGTGCAGTCGGGACATCTATGGATCGACAGGCATCAGCGGATCACGTGACAACCCAACTTTGGTTCAGGGTAACACCAACCTTAGAATCGCCTGGTACTACCAATGTACAGTCGTGAAGTGGCAAGTTCTGAGATTCTCATTCAAGGTGTAGCCGAAACTGCGACATTGTGTAATGCAGCATACCCCTGGGGCCATGTGAGCAGCGATGAACAAAACCAACGTACATCAGTATTCACGACAACTCGTGTGGGGTCGTAAACTGCATAGCATACACGCCTCTTACTTGATCAAACGAAGATGCGATACGCTGGTATCACATATGAATCTGCCAGCGACGAGCAACCACTTACGATGAGTTGGATAGACGACGGCGTGTGAGTGTGTACCTACCTAGGTAGGTATATTCCCACGCAAGTGCCATCGAGGTGCCGTGTGGGATGGGTCCCGAGGTCCTACCGAGAGCCATGGCCTCTCCAGAATGCGCCCCCATCATCGAACATTCTCGCATTCCTTGTGGTTTCGGAAGCACCAGATGAGGAAGCACGGTCTCTTGTCGGTCATGGTTCTTTGTCGATCATTGCCCTTTTCCTACGCGTTGCTCGGTGCTATCGCAAAATGAAGTCTCCTGCGTCAAAGCTTGGCATTGCTGCTGAGACAACGGTGGAAGCACCTGACCTGCCCTGATAATTGTGACGGCATAAATCAGATAGACAGACACAGATCTCTGTTGCTGAATAGACTCGCAGAAGTGAGTTTGAGCATCCGCTGGAGATCACACTTACCCATTCCTCATCTTCTCCTATTTTCGAACCTTTCTCCATGCTTCTCCGCAATGACAAGTCCTACAACGGCATATCCGACCCGCTCCAGAGTCTAACGACTACGGCATCTACCAAGCAGTATTCCGGCAACCCCTCCCCGCTCGCTCGTCTACCACGCGAATTGCGCGACCAGATCTACGAGTATGCCCTGGGTGCCGACATGATGCGCATATTGAGTTTCGGCGAGACGAAGCTCATAATGCTTCCAATCTACGCGCCGGGTCGCGTGTACTGTGATCAGGAAGACGGTCTTCCGATGTGGATGCTATCTAGCCAGACGATTCTGTCTGAAGCACTCGAAGTCTTCCACCGAACGCAGTGCTTTGAGCACATCGACCTTGCGCCATACGCCCAATGGAAACTTTCGCCCACCCGGAGGAACCCCCTGGTACTCAACCAAAATATACGTCACGTAAAACTCAACGAGCCACTCGAAGTGGTCGGAAATTCCTTTCCATTACCAAGTTCCTGGCATCCCGGATATAACGATACGTTTCTGAAGTGTCTTGCGTTATGGAATCCGCCGGAACTGGACGTACGCTGTGAGGTATTCTCTAATAATCCGGAAGGACCTCGCATGGATCCAAGCCAGGTACCAAAGTGGCACAGTAAGGTCCCTGTGCGGAACCCCGATGTACGTGATCGGTTCAAACAGCTTCGCGGACGGTGCAGAAGCATGTCAGTGGAAATCAAAGTCCCTCACGGTTTTCAGGAGAACGGAAAGCTTTTGGATAACGCACGAGCTTGGGCTGAGCCTAAGCTCGAGCACAAGAGACAATATTTCGCCGACTTATGTCAGTCGATTGAGGCATGGGCGAGGGAATTGGTTGGCGGAAGCACGCGCTTCTTACTGAAGAACGAGAATGACGGAAGGAGCAATTGGAAGAATGGAACTCCTCCGGGAAAGTACTTTAGGGCCATATGCGAGGCGCAAAGACTCGGCTAAACATGTCGCATAGGAGCACTGAACAACATTGGCAATTGGTACTGGCCTTGCAATAGTCATCAACATCAATACAGTAAATTTGAGCTCCTTCTAATAGTCTCAGTCTTTTCCACTTCATACCATTACAGACATACGCGCGTACGGCCGCATCTCTCCTGTGGTGTCTCTTACCAGATATTCCTAGCTTTGGAAGAATTTAAGCCCTGGCTCCAAATTGAACAACCTACATGCACCGCGTAGTTCTCATCGGTGGTCTCCTTGGAAGGACCGTAGAGCTAAGAATGTATAGGTATAATACGAGCAGCCGAGTCCTGTGACCCCCCTCTACCACCATCACTGTCCACAGAAAGCGTAACAACACCTCCTCTTCCATAACTACCCTCACTTCCCCCTCCGCAACCCCCTCAAAGTCCCCGCAAACCTCCTCCTAGTCACGTACACAAACCCCATAAACACCACCGCAAACACCACACTCCCCGCCCCCGTCCTCTGATTCATCCCCGCCTGCTTCTTCGCCTCCTCATAATACCCCTTCACCTTCTCCGTGACGCCATCATCCCTCTCCAAATCAGGCATAGCCATGATCTTGACCACCAACGCCGACCAGCCCGTGAAGTGCTGGGTACGTTGTCCATCACCTTTGACAGGGTCGTATTGTTCCCAGATATAGCCTGTTTGGAGGTACGAGTTGAACACGGTGTGGACGATGTTGCTGCGGAGTTCGATGTAGATTTCGCGGCAGCGTTGTTGTGAGGGGCCGGGGATTTGGGCGAGGTCGAGGAGGTTGGTGAGGAGGAGGTAGTTGATGTTTATCCACATGGGCGAGCGCCAGTAGTTGTCGTCTTTGCCGTAGGCGTCGTCTTCGGGGCTTAGACTGCGGACGCCGAAGTCGGTCCAGAGGTGGTTGGGGTCGCGGAGGAGGGTTAGCATGGCGGGGAGATGTGGGTGGGAGGGGTCGGTGAAGCCGGTGAGTAGGGGGAAGATGGAGATGTAGCCTTTGTGGCAGGCGTGGGTGTGTAGGTCGTTGCGGACTACGGCGTCGCAGTAGGTGTTTGGTTCTTTGGACCAGTGTATCGTGTCGATGTTAGTTTTGACGCCGCGGATGTGGTTCTGGTATGTGAGCGCGTCGTGGGCGTTTTCGGTGAAGAACGCAATGCGTTCTAGTGTTCGTGCCATTACGCCCACCCAGCACAAGGCGTCCAGATGCAACTCGGTGATGTCGGGAGGCTCCGCTCGAGGGTAATCATCCAGTCCGCTGGCGAAGTTCGTTCCTGGTGTCCGGCCACGCCATCGGTAGCCCTCATTCAAGTTGGCCGATGGAATGGAATGGGCCTCCACATCTCCAGATTGCGACTTCCGGAACCAGTCGTAGTGCTTCTTGAGGTACGGATACATCTTCGTCACCAAAGCTTTCCCAGTCTCTGCTTTGGCGAGGTACAAGGAGTCGTGACCATGATATTTTGTCGTCCCTTTCAGCATATCGATGAACTTTGAGATGACCAGAAACATCGTTGGCGGATTCGCAATGTGTGGAAATTGGGTGATGAATTCAGCAGGCGTGGCACCCTCGGCTTCCGCGCCTAGGATCTGCTCTCTTGCTATCCAGCCATCATCGTCCATGAGGTTTAAGAGCCAGTCGCGTATCACCTCGAGAGCGAGATCAGCATCCCACTCGATGACAAGAAGGAGATGAAACCCTTCATCCCATAGGAAGCCCCTTGGAAAGGCTGCACGAGATGGTGTGTGAGTGAGAAGCTCATACGGGCCTTTCGTCTCCGGTGTTGTATGCTTCTTCGCGTCGACCGACTTCTGCCAGAAGTTTGCAGTGGTCTCAGCGTATATGGCCTTCTTCGACGTGTCGACCTTGGCAGTGCCGGTGAAGTAGCCTAGTCCACCTAGCAGGTTGGAGAAAGTATTCCGAGAGAAGGCGCGGTGCATGACGGTGGTGAAGGGCGTTTTTGGGGTGAACACTGCGTCGAAGTTCTTGGCGAAGGATGCGAGGGTTTCCTCTAGACTGGTGGTAAGACCGGCGGCTGGAAGGCATTAGCATATCTGGTTCATGGACGCGCTTCTTCGTATAGAATGGCGGAGGTGAGTACTCACAGGTCATGGCTCGCTTCGCAGTATCACTCGAGTACAGGATGTCGAACTGCTTGAGGTTAGTCGCAGTTTAACATATGATCGTGGTGCTGACCTCGAACTCCCCATGGCACACCATCTGCACTAACTGTAAATTGCCGTTGCCCGGAGCGTCGCGCAGTACGATATCATTTGGTCCTGGCTCGGTGCGGTCTTTCGTTTGGTCCTTCAGCGACTCCAAGAAGGTGGCTTCTTGCACATGCTCATCAGCTGGTTGTTCATGACACGATGGGGAGGTTCGAAGCACAGGTAGATGGGATTGAAGATATCATGACATTCATTGTACTTACATTTGCCTTGCCACAGCCTATCTTCCGTAACGTTCAGCGTCTTGATATACGCTATTTCACGTTTCTCATCTGCATTGATGGGTACAGGGATATGAATACCCGCATTACCCAACTTCGGATGCGCAATATTCATATTCACAGCTTGGACCGTCTTTCCATCGGCCTCAAACTGTTGACGCGCCTCGAGCTTGCAGTTGGCACAGACTTCCATGGCCTCCATGCCAATGTAGAAGACCACGGCAGTCTTGAGGTCTTTGGGCGCATCAGGCCTAGGCATGCCCTTGATGCGCAAACCCCAATTCCCCTGGCTCTGGTCTTCAGAGTGCTTTATGAACTCGGTTACGAGGTTTATCTTGTTTCCGACGTCTTCTATCATTTGTCGGCCGCCTTCTCGTGTATCGTATGAGATCCAACCGTACTTGGCCATGCCGTCGCTCTGGTTCACGTCATGTCGGAGTGCTATAGAACTAGTCAGCGCTGTACGCATATCCTCAAAGTGTCTACTTACTCGTCTCTACATCTTCCAGCTTCCCCCACATGACGCCCGCAATGAGACTTTTGGGCATGCGGGCGCGCAAGCCTAGATACAGATTCGGACGATAAGGACCCCATAGTAGCGACTCGTTGCTAGTCGGCACCTTGTGGTCGGCGGCGGACGCGTGTGGGAGAAGCGTGAAGAGGAGCGCGAGGAGGGCTGGCGGGAGCATAATGACGTCGAACGGGTACGACGCGTTTCACGACGCGTTTGACCAATTGCTCTCAAGCTCTTCGGGACGACTGCGGTGGCGCGAGGCTTCGGGGCATATCTCTGCTACGTTGACTTAGCTCTTAGCTGACAGCGACAGCAATGCGCCGGCTATATCGGACTTATTTGCCCAGACAGAGCGGCCTTGGTTCCTGCTGCGTTGTGATTGGATGACGCGCTACGCCATGGCCAAAAGAACTCTACTTCCATCTTCAATCAGTCGCACGCGATAAGAATCACAATTCGCTTTACTCATCGTCCGAAAGATCTACAGCTGTATTCGCCTGCGATGGGTTTCGGGTCAGTTACAGCGACTGGTCGTCCGGATGTTACTACGAATGCATTCATTCGGTACCTATCATGCCACAGAAACTTCAACCTTTCCAGGATGCATTTCGAAGCATAACTAGGTAGTACACATTACACAGAATAACACCTACTCCTGACGCCAAAACATGATACAGGGCTGAAAGGATAACAAGGATGCCAGCTATTCCAACCCGCCAACCTCCCGCGCGACGTCAGCGGTCCACTCACGCCGCCGAGCCCCCACAATCTGCAAATGCGGATGAGCGAACTAAAAGCCAGCCATCCCGCCTTGGATGCTGGCGATCCCGATCGACTCCAGGATAGCAAGATATAAAGACTTTTACGCGACTTTTGACACAGGACAGTTTTTTTGGAGTCATTTCAAGACAGACTACATCAACATGGAAGAACAAGTAGAGCGCCTAGTAAACAAGGTCTGGGGTATGTGATATTACGGGTTGGAAACAAGAGACACGTGTTGACGAGACCGCAGACCAATATCAAGATGTCCCTGCATCAAAGCGCTTGCTAATCGCCGTATCGGGTATCCCAGGATCCGGTACAGTACACGCACGAACCTCAACCCTCCAACCCGCTGACCACGCCTAGGCAAAACAACACTAGCAGCCATCGTCTCAACCAAACTCAACGAGAAACATGCACAGCAATCGCCTGGTACCGCTAATAGCAACCCACTCTCAGCCTTCATACCAATGGACGGCTTCCACCTCTCGCGGCAACAGCTGGACGCAATGCCCGATCCAGACAGCGCCCACGCGAGACGAGGCGCGGCATTCACATTCGACGGCGACTCCTTCCACAGCCTGGTGAAGAAGCTACGAGACCCGATATGTCCAGAGAGCTCCACACTCTACGCCCCCAGTTTCGACCACGCGCTCAAAGACCCCGTTGAAAACGACATCGCCATCGCGCCATCCGTCCGCATCGTCATTTTCGAGGGTAACTACTGTTCTCTGAACAAGGCGCCTTGGAACGAAGCTGCGAAGCTCATGGATGAGCTTTGGTTCGTGGATGTGGACTTTGATGTTGCGAGGAAGAGGTTGGTGCATCGGCATGTTAAGGCGGGGATTGCGAGGGACGAGGAGGAGGCGGGGAAGAGGGCGGATGAGAATGATCTTGTTAATGGGAGGGAGATTGTGGATTTGAGACTTGATGTGCATGAGTTGGTTAGGAGTGTGGAGGATGGGACGTGGGCGCCTGAACAGCAGGGGGTTGGGGATGGGGCGGATGAGGGGAGTAAAGGGGGGATGGCGGGGAGGGTATGATGATTTGTTTGCTGATATTTAGTATTGGCAGTGGATTACCTGACTTTCTTCGCTGTTTTCGGCCCCCAAGTATAGACGCTGCACTACCGCGCATTCATAGTCTCTGCGTGGAGACCCTGATAGTCCTCAAGACTGTTCCCTTCTCATAGTAGGACGTGTCTCTCGTATCATCGCATTCGTGCACCTCCGCATCACTACCAACGATACCCTTCGCCCACACTTCCACCGTCGCTTTTTCCTCGAAAAGTTGATCCGAACTGTCCAATTCGCAGTGCTCGCACACGTTACTCTGAAGTCCAACAGTCAGGCCTCTGCAACGCCCACGAAGTCCTTCTATCTTGCCATCTAGGCTCTTTCTCCGCTTTTTCCTTCTCTCCCTGTCGTGTGGGTCCGCTTCCGTACGCACATAACTGCACACCTGGCAGAAGAATGCCACTTCACAGACGAATTTAACGTCTTTGAGATCTGGTCGGAGTCGCTGCAGGTATCGCACAAACATGGTGTCGACCTCGTCCGGCGCAAACCACAGATCTTTCGCGGCGCCTGTAGCCCCTTGCCAATTCAACGTGACTTTCCATGTCATTTCGACGTTCTTGATGCTGTTGTTGAAGAGAAGTGTGTTTTTATACTCGCTGCGGTCCACCGGGTTTGGCGGTGCACGATAACATGATTTCGCACTGAAAACTCTGCGGCGAACTTTTGGTGTTAGGCTTACTCTTCGTTTTGTTCTTCCATATTGTGTGGTTGGGACATATGTCTGCGTCCTGTAGAAGAGTTCAAGCGCTTCCCCAAGAATCGTTTTGCACGAAAGTAGCCATTCGGGAAGGCCCATATAGTGGTCATCGAGACAGCTCGAGGGGTACTTTCGGTTTTTGGCATCGATGGCGAGGTTACGGTAATGAAAGGTAGTTTCATCGGAGCCGAATGCGTGCTCCCAGATCATGTCGCGCAATTCGCGGGGCAGGCGAGTGAAGATTGGTGACTGCTCATTCTGAGTGGTGATGAGTCTTGATCGTTCAAGATCCTCTTTTGTGCTGCGTTGGCGGCGCTTACGGGGGACGTAGGGTCCGTCGTCGGGTGAGTAGCGTTTTGCGTTGCGGAGATGCATGTTGGGAGGTGTTACTATCTGGCGAGAGCCTGACAGGAAGGGGCGAGATGAAAGTACGCCGCTACGAAGGCGATGCTGTAGAGATAAGAAAACATGGCCTCACGAGTGGGATCGAAGTCTAAGTAGCTGTCGTATTGACATAGAGCTAACTGGATGTGGCTAGCGTCGTGTCTCTGACGAAGACCGAGGCCTCGATACCTAGGTATGGACGACTATATTGGCTGGAACTGCAGCGAACAGCCCTCGACTATTGAAACCGTTCTGATGACTGCCTTGAACGGTGGGGCCATGAGATACCAGGAATGATTATGTGTTCTTCTCGAATGCGTTTGCTCACACCTTCCGCTCGACGGTGAGACGTCCTACCCACGCCTTTTGCTTGTACCACCCTGACATAAACCTCCAGAACACCCGAACCATATCAGTTGGATCCTCCCACACCACAGCTCCACCAGTACCGACTAGTCTCAGTGCAAACTTCTCCGCCTCATCCATAATCCACAATGGTGTAGTATCCTTCTTGAGACCTCTGATCATAACATTGACCTTGACTTTGCGAAACATCCCTTGCCAATCTTTTCCCCATTCTTCAGTCAGATCCGTGGGATCGTTATCCTTTGGGTCTCCCCGCTCGTGAGCATATTGCCAAACTATCCCCAGATACGCATCCTTCAGGGAGAGGCTGTCCATTAACTTGAGGAAAGGTACAGACTGGTCGCCAACGACACCAGTGCTTCTAGCGGTACGGTCAAAGGAAGGCCATAACTTGATGTTTCCTACGCCACCTTCACTGAAAACTAGCGTGTTCGGGACTCCTTCGTCCATTTGAATTTCTGCAATTCTTGGGCGCCCATAAGGTTGGAACGTGTAGTTACGTGCGATCAAGTCCAGGACTTCGTAACAAATCTGTTGACTTGACAGTGACCATAGCGGGAGGCCACGTTTAGTTAGTCCCGGGTGTCTGATGTAGCCTTCGGAGTTTGGTGTCGCAGCAATGATGAGCTTATTCACGCGGAATGTAAGGTCCAGCCCCTTGAGCGATTCCATGTAGACTTGGTTTCTGATCTCTCGCGGAAGGTTTAGAAATGCGCATCCGTCCTGAGTGGGAATAGTCGAGATCGTAGGCCGAGCCTTTGGTGTCTGGACCTTCAAGCGCTTCGAGGAGCGAATACCTTTTGCCGGCGACGAGGCGCGTTTCTTGGTAGGAGCCATGTCGTCGTCTCGGTGGTATTTGAGCTATGAGCTTGACTGATGAGGACTGGTTGTAGCAGCCAGGGTGGTGGGCGGAAGGTGATTGCTTGAGTGTCGTCTGTGAATTGCTTGACTCGGGAAGAAGAGACAGTCCTAAAGGAACACTGGTAATTATATGCGAGAGGGTTTGTGATTCGGCGCTAGATATTCTCGTGATCGCGGGCACGGACCTCTTCTGGTAGTGAAGGAAGGCGCGACGAATGCTGCCTGGGCTACCCTCTTCGTGACCCGATTAAAAAGTCGAGAACAGTGCACATTACATCAATGCCTCTAACTTCCTCAGGTCAACTCATTGCTAACCTGGAAGCCGCGATGGACTCAACATGCACAAACCGCTCCAGCATCGAAGACACCTCAAACCTCGACCACCTCGAAACATCCAAGTCCACCGCGTCGGCTACATCAGCCCCTATCTCGTCACATAGCCTCCTTCTCGACCTCCCAGCCGAGCTTCGAGAAAAGATATACGCCTACGTCTTCGGCCCTTCCCCCCGCGCATCCACCGCCAGCAAACAGACCTGCGTCCGGGCTGTAGTTCGCGACTTCGCGACTCCTTCCCGCTACTATCCCGGATATGCAATCATTGGTCTACCCAAATGGTTGCTAGCCAATAAACAGGTCCACGCCGAAGCGATGGACGTATTTCGTCGATGGCGTACGTTCGTGTTCGATGACCCGATACCTGTGATGGAAGATTTAACTTTGTTGGACGAACCGCGGGCACTACCTGCTTTCAACAGTCTGACCTACGGTGGCAGCGCCAACATTGGTAGCATTGTGTTCCAGCCTGGCCGTACTGTGCGGTTTAAACTGCACTGGCCTGTTCGTCCCAAGTACACGCGAGGCGAAATTGCACGTTTTCTCGAGAAAGCGAAAGAGGACGACACCGAGTTTCTCGATTGTGTTTATCATGGACTTGGAGAGAACGCGTGTTTGGACTTATACTGGGATCGTATGTGGTGTCGAAGCCACTATTACGGTGCGGAGTGGCTGGAGGGCGAAGAAGAGATGATGGATTGTTTTGATGAGAGGTGGAGTGGGCGGTTCCGTAAGGTTTGCGTCCATGTTAGGTATGGAGGAGCGGAGTGGACCTTCGCGCAAAAGATGATGAAGACTGCTAGGAAATGCTCACGGCGACTCGTGGGTATCACTGCAGGAGAGGATGTAGGCGTGCGTTGGACTAGGAAGGAGGTGAGACCGGCGGTTAGTCCTATCCACCTCAGCGATTGGGAGTCGACGTTGGTGATCGAGCGGAAGATTTGAGATGCTGGCTTGACTGCGCAAGATGTGTAGTCGGGGGGCTTTGGTGGCTGGCACGAGAACTTACTCCAAAGTATGTATATTTCGTGAACAATCTCCCTCATCCAGCTGACCTTTCAACCGTGACATACCTCTTGATGCGGCCATAACCAAACGGTTTATCGTGACGATTCCTCACCTCTTCCCTCCATCTCACGCTCGACGCATACTCCACCGTCTCTCCGTCTCCATCACATCCCCCGCCTCCCCTAGCAACGAGTCTTTTCGCCGCCCGTTCCCCCAATCCCGCCACTATCTCCTTCGCCATCAACTCATTCACCCTACTATCCACTCTGATCTGCACACGTTCCAACCTGCCCATCCAGCGCTCCAATGCCACATTCCTAAGAACGACTTCATCACCCGGCAACACGTTAAAAACGTTGAGGGTCCAGTGCATGCACAACCCTTTAACAATTGCACCACCCTCGTGCAGGATGTTCAACATCTCCTCATCACTAGACCCAAGTTTAACCACCACCGTCCTCTGCCGTTGCCCCCTGCGCGCTCCCGATATAGCCATCTGTCCGCCCAGTGTAGGGTCTACATGCCACCGCGCAAGCTCTAATTCAGTCGTGACTTCGGTATCAGAATCTTGTGCTAGCTCGTCCGGGTGCGCTGCTGAGATATAGCTTAACGCCCTCATGTTGAACACTACTGTCTTGACAGCCGCAAAGACGAGCCTGTTCAACACGTCATCCGCGGCTAGATCCCTGAGATCTGTTCTCCGGACGAGGCCGAGGCCGGGGTGGTATGAGGTGAATGCGTACTGTCTTGACAGTACGTTCATGCCTTCTTTCAAAATTTGTGTGCACGTCATCAACCAGATCGGCAGACCCTTTTTTCGGGGTTGTGATATCGCGTTGTTTTTGTGCACGATTGTCTTGGGGATCGCGAAGAAGGATGTGATGCGAAGGCTATTTTTGAGTGAGGCTTCGATTGTGAGCGAGTTATATGAGAAGGTGTAGATGAAGTTGCGTAGTTCGGCGGGCAGGTTGAAGAAGAGACATGGTGTTGGTGAGGTGCTTGAAGAGGTGTGGGCAGTATGTAGTGCCGTGTTTGTAGTTTTGTTTAGCATGCTCAGGAATTGTCCTCAATGCGGGCCAGGATAGGCGCGATCTGGTAGTAGTTTGGCTGCTGAAGGACGCGGCTGCTGTGGGACAGCGGCTTGTGATTAATCTTGGAAGCAAGGAGGTTTAAGTAGAAACAGTACGTCGGGGCTTTGGACAAGAAGCTTGTGAGATGCTGAGAAGCTTTCGTTGTGGGTGCGCTTACTGAGATATCTTGATGAGGCAGGCATCAGCGAGTCACGTGCTCCAATATCCACTAGCGTATCCTTCTTTCAGACACGCGCAAGTCATCACCATGCAATTAAACAGCCAAAACAGAGTTTTCCAGTAATCATATTGCTACGATAATCTTCTACTCAAACAAGCATACACGCTCGCGGCCGTGAAAGATCCGAGTCTGGCAACTTTGCAAGAAGCACCCGGAACATGCTCCGGTCTCTGCAAAACCCGCCCATCCCCTATCAAACATACTACACAAAGAAGTGAAGAACGTGCCTGTGCTCCCCGACTTCATATGCAAAGAGAAAAAATGTTTAGCCATAAGGCGTTTGTGGGTGCCGATGCAAAAAGGTGCTCGGCCGGCCATGTGATGGAAAAGCTCGCTTCATCCGGGAACGCCGCATCCGACTCCGTAAATGACGATGAGAACCGGGTTCAGGCCGTTCGAAAAAGGGTGGGTGCGTATGTATACATTTTGGGCACCCGTCATCCAAGGTTGCGCCAAGTGAGTGCAGCGAAAGGAAGGCAAAGGGGGAGCGCGCAGAAGTGCTAGCGACAAACGGGTGCATGCCGTCTATGCCTTGACTGCGCCGCCCTCCTCGACGTTCTCGTTGTTCTCAAAGTCTGACGCGGAGGTCTCGCGGTTCAGGCTTGTCTCGCGGTGCAGGAAGGTGTGTTCCTTGACGGGGCTGCCTGCCAACTCGCCTTGACCGTTGGCGGTGACGCTGTCTCTGTGGCCGTTGCCATTGCCGTTGCCGTTCTGGCCGGTGGGCGTGGGCGGGGCGATGTGTGGGATCTTTTCGGGGTTGGGGTGCTCGCGGCCGACTTGGGTGACGCCGACGTCACCAGCTTTGCCGGCCTTGGAGAGGGCGTAGTCGCCGCTGTCGAAGTACTTGCGCTCCTGTGGCCGTTGTTAGCAGGGCTCTGAATGTTTCGCAGGCTCTCGTACCTTCAGCTTGTTCTGGAGCAAGTCCTTCTTGTTGGGCAGCTTGCCGTAGAGACGGAAGAGCTTGGCCTCCTGCTCCGACATTTTCTAAATCGCGGTTAGCTAGACATATTCCTAAAGGGTGCGCATGGCTTCTGTGCGGCTATGACGTACGCTGACATCGACCTTGTTCTGCTGGTGCGGGTTCATGGTTGCGGTGGTGGTGATTGTGGTGTTGCGGATCGCAAGTGACGTTCGTCAGAGGGGCAGCTGCTCGCGAAAGGTGCAGAGTGTCTGGCGTGTGGATTCTTTGTTGTAATGTCGACACAGAAAAGGGTCAAGGGTCGCAATTTGTTTAAAAGTTGCTGTCGTTGGCTCGCGCTGACCACTTTGGGCGAGTACCGTTACCCGTTATATGACAGGGACAGGGTGAATAGATGTGATTGATCCGGCTTCCAGCGCTGACGATTGGGTGCCGACAAAGCTCGGGCGTGTGTCTTTGCTGCTGCCTGACAACACAACAACGTCGACGTGTTATGACTCGCTTGGCGTGTGGTTCTGGTGCTGTTGAAGCGATGATGTTTGGGTGGGAGTGGGAGGAGTGCCCCTCTATCCAGCTCGACTATGCGATAAGCCTGGATCGCCCGAGGTTCCAGCTGCTCGGAATGCTGCACGAGGTCAATCGAGCAACAAGACAAAAAACAAAAGTGGTGATGCTGAGAGTTGCAGAAGGTCGAGTGCACTTAGTAGGAACAGGATGTATAGAACAGTTGCGGTGATGTAATAGACTTGGGCGTTGCTGTCTCTTCAATTGCTTCGCTCGAGGTTGTCACTCAGAGAGGGGCAGATGCAGCACATATGTAGGCGACGAGTGGGCCGACGTGAACAATCCCCAGAACGTGGCTTACTTAACGGATGAATTGACGCAACTCGCACAAAGACACCAAGGCAAAGCAGCCGTTTCCGCGAAAGTGTAACCAACCGGCCCTTACGCGCGTTGGTCGGATGCACGCTGCACGCTGGATTGCCGTAGACCTTACCAGACGCGGCACCTTCACAACGTCACGCGTGCACACCATTGGCCTCTGAACCCACCATGATCGCCAGGGCCCAGCTCGATAGAGCTTGCCGTGTCGGTATTTTGTGCCATTGGAGTTTGGGCGCGGCGACGTCACATGGAACACTGCTTAGACTGAATCACGATGCACTTTTTTTTATCTTGCAACTACGAAAGGATGCTTCCCCGCTTACCACGATAGGCGTTTAATAGGCTGCTTCGATGCGCTAGTTCTAGACTTTATCAAACCCTGAAGGTCAGCCATGCTCCCCACCACCACCTACTTTGATTAGCGAGATACTACTGCAGTGCTTCAAGGTTCTCACCATCGATCCAGAACACAGGAAGCAAGACACGACATCGAACCTGAGAACATCTCACAGAGCCCCGC